CCAAGATCATCAAGAGATGTTCCAATGTATGGGATGTTGATGCCACATAGCCGCAATGTATCAGAAGCCTCTATACATAGTACAATGTCAATTAGATCATGTGGATTAGAAACTGGCCAATCACAGCTGCCATTTGGATTCACCAGCACACTGACCAATCCATCCAGCCAATCAGAAGCTCTGAAGCACTGCAGTGAAAGAATCACAGCCATGTCAGCACATCAAACCCTCCAAGGCCTAGACAACAAAGATGAGTCCATTATTTCTTCTGAAAGTGACAAGAAAATACCCCAACATGAACAAGAAGAATCTGTCATGGCAGTACACTCTGGTACTTGCCATTGTCATGATTTTGAACAGCAGCTTCTCCAAAAGATAAAGAGTACAAAAACACATTCAGAGTTGGAGCTTATTTATATCCTGAAGCAGTTAGAAAAGGCCTTTAGCAATAAGAAAGCTGACATCTATCTATACTATGACCATGCTAAACTAATGGCTTCAAAACTTGGTTTACAGACTTGCACACTTAATAAAGAGGAGCTTCTCAATCATTTGGCTTACATCCATAGGAATCATCACAACATTGGCTCAGTCAAGACCAATGACAGCACCTATCTCTGGTTCTGTTTGGCAAATAGACCAGCTAGAGCTGAAGATGCTTTAGGCATTTACAAATTCAAACATCAGCTAATTATCCCTCTGGTCACAAACATGAGAACATTCAACTTCAACTGATACATGTGAATAACTGGAGTTAACAAGTTCACCACCAGCAATCTTCAGAAGAAATGGAAAACAACTGGATCTGTTGTCATTCTCCAGCTAATGTGCTGGTGGAATGATAAGTTACAAGATGCCACCACCACAGTACTCACCCAGGTCAACAGTGAATATGACATGTACTACCATTATCAGTAAATGATAAGAGATTGTGATAATTACAGATGGTTGAGAACAATGTATCACAGTATCAGCCAACAACTTATGCATCAGGACCCTGTGTACTACCTATAATATGTACTGACAAGACCCAACCACACTTGGAAATTAATCTCCTATCCATACTACACCAAGTATGCTAAGCCAGGGGATAAAACTGGGTTTCACCATATCAATATCAATGTTCCAGATGCTATTACTACTGAAAGGGGTGTTAACATGATACAAGAATTCTTGACCTTAACTGCAGAAGAGCCCAGCAACTGTACAGAAATCTTGTCAGAAATGCATAATCATCTAGAGAATTAATGGGGACTAGTCAAAGAACAAGACTTATCCACTGATGGCTATGTTCACCACATTAAAGATACAATGTATACCAAAGACAATGAAAGAAAATTTGGTATTAGATGGACTGATATCATTTACAAACCTGGCAATGTCCAAATTACAAGCCCTCTGCTACCCCATGGAGCCCATGGTCCATGCAAAAAGGTCCAACACACTATACTACTCTGGTATGTGGCAATTCAAGAGAACCATGAACATCTAGAAGTCAATAAAGCTGGTACATGGTCCCAGCTCTCTGCTGCATATAGAGATCTAGTTCCAGAGTCTTTGTCTCCATCCAGCCATTCAAATTATTATGCATTGGTTCCATATTGATTCCCTACTGCTATTCAATTACAAGACTTAGGAGCTATATTGGATGCCCTGGTAGAATAAATTAGGTGGGACAACCCCATGGTAATTGAGGAACTTGATATTCTCTTTGGCCCTGATGACAAAAAGGCTCAGGACTTCATTAATAACTGGTGCCTAAAGGCCATGCAAATTGCTCTGGATGCCATTGTCAAGACTTACCAAATTGAAAAGAAAGCTTTTGGTAATAAATCCTATTAACATTGTGTGCACAACAACATTGACCCAGTGTCAGTTCAGTCTTCTCCTCCTCCCAAGAACTTGGTGAAAGAAGAGAATCATGATGATCACCATTAGAGATTGCTGCTATCACTCTTCTTATTCTTATTTCCTATGTTTTTCCTTACCAGACTGCTCATTACTATTTATTATTCTCTTATTTTACTAAATTGGTTTTGTTTTATTTTATATGTTGTTTGTTGTCAGGGGATGCCAACATTAAAGGCCAGGAGGAAATGTAGTAGGAATTTCAGTATCTCATTAGGACAAAGGTTGTTCCAGTCCAAGGTGCAAACCACCCCAAAGCTACTATTCTTGAGCTATATAAATCACCTGTAGCCCTTGCATCTTGCTTATTACCTTCACACACCATTGCTCTTTTCTACACACTTGTTCCTTACTACCAGTTCAGCTATTAGTTAGAGAATATGAAGATTTCTTGTTCATGAAATGTGCTACTGTTCCTCATTAGAGCTGCCTGTGTTAGTACAGGACTCTTTAGTACTATTACTTCTTGCAAGCTTAGGCATCTGTTAGAACATATCTATCTCTACACTTACTACTCAACTATACCCTTACTATGTGGTGATTTTTCACCTTTCTTGTGCTCTCACCATATCAACCAACTCGCCTACTTTGACAAGGCATCCCATTGTACCCCGCTCCAATATACCAATCTCTATTTTCTGGTTGTAAAGAAACAGAAAGATGAATATTGTTTAGTTGATGCAGCATATATATACAATAAAGTTACTATTCAGAACACTTTTATTTCTTCTAATGTTGATAAATATGCTGAAGACTTTGGTGGACTTGTTATAGCTAGCCTATGTGACTTATTCTCTAAATATGATAATTTTCTTTTAGCTGAAGAAAGCAGAGATATAACAGCCATTGCAACCTCTATTAAGCTCTTTCACCATATGACTTTAGTCCAAGGGGCAATGAATTCACCAGCTCAAGCCCAACACAGGATAATAAAGATAATATACAAGATTTTTCCAGAGATTGCTCAAGCCTTTATGAATGATCTTGGAGTAAAAGAATCATATGTCAAAGATGAAACTGAAGTTCTCCCAGAAATAAAAAGATTTGTTTATAACCATCTGCAGAACCTGGACTATATTCTATAGCTTGTCAAAATCTCTGGGGCCAGAATCTCCAGTGCCAAATCTTAATTCTGCATGTCTGGAGTTAATGTCATTGAATGGGTCTGCAACTATAACAGATGATGACCTGAGGAAGCCAAGATGACTATAATTATGAATTGACCTACTTCTATAAGCATTACAGAATTATGGGAATTTCTAGGGCTTGCTGGATATTTCTAAATACTTATAGAGTATTATAGTTGAATAACCAAATCTTTACATTATCTGCTTTAATGAAATGTTACATGGACATGGACTGAAGAGCAAAATAACATCTTTATACTTTTAAAAGAAAAGCTTCTAGTTGGCTTGGCATTTTCAGCTGATGAAACATATCATGTGAAGTTACCTGTCTTGTTAGAAATCCTCACAAGACAATTTTTCAAAGAATTGGCTCATGTTTGTATGCTACCATCAAGGTCATCTAAAATGAAACTCCTTGAGGAGACACTTTTGTGGCAGAAATCCTCCCAAGACAATTTCTTGAAGAATTGGCTCATGTTTGTATGCTACCATCAAGGCCATCTAAAATGGAATTCCTTGAAGATGTGCTTCTGTAGTGAAAATTCTCACAAGATGCATCCTCTAGGAGCTGGCTTATAGTTCTAAATTACTGTGCACCCATACTGAAGATGCTTGGAATAGGAGAATAACTGACCAACACTTCAACAGAACAGAAATTCAAACAGCTGTTTGGCCATTCTCTTGTCTTAAACTTCTGCTTTTCCAGCCATTCACTTATTTGTGTGTCCTGAAGGGTTCAAGACCCAAGGGAAAACATATACAAGAGAGGGCCTCAACCTCAACCTCAGCTTTGGTGGACTTTGGCCAGGTTGGCTCTTTCTTTGAGATGCTTGCATTCAGGTCAGCTATATGGGCAAATGTCATGCTAAGAATGAGTCATATTCAGCAGAAACCACATATCTTGACTCTGAGATGTATTTCTGAGTGTCTAGCATTTGATGGTATGTTGTTCAATTTGTGATGTGGGGCAATTGGACACAAGTAATATAGATTACTGGCACATCTTCTTCTGGTGTCTTTGTTGTTATGGACTGTCCTGTTCTCTAGTGGCAGACTTAAGCAAGAAGTGGTCATTACTGCCACTTACTTGAAGCAATAAGAGTGGTCCTGTCAGAATCTTACTTAGTCATTCACCCATGTAACTTGAGTGCTACATCTTGGGCTCTCTGTCCATTTACAGGATTTTTTTGCCAAAGTGGGAACTTCCACCATTTCCTTTTTGAACAGCTCACCTCTTTTGGGAAGTGAAATTTTTTGTAGAGAGGTCTGTAAGAAGAGCCAGCTTTATTTGAGAAGATTTTAATGCAAGCACATCAGACCTGTAGAAATCTGGTTTGCTGAGGTGTGAGTGAAGTATGGAAAGGAATTGCTTAGCTCCCAGGCATAATTTCTCTGAAATGCCAATTCAGTGCTTTACAGTTTCAACTGTTAATGTCAAATGTCAGAAACAACAAGATTACCTTCCTGGTCACCATAATTCTATTCACCAAAAATTTAAAAAGAAAGAGGCAGGATGAGCCCAACTCTTCAAGTTTAACAAAGTCCAAAGCAGTCTGATTCAATATTCACATATTGCACAAGTTGGATCAGGTGATAGAGGCAAATTCAGAAGTTGATTTGACATTATGTTTTCTGAAGAACTACTCTGAATGTCTCTCTAAAATGTGAACTCCAGTATCACAGTTAATAAGTTAAGATACCCTCCTCTATTAATGTTCACTGTTTCTGACTCTTTGGCTGCTAGCATCAAGCCCCACTGTGACAACTTCTCATGACAACTCAGTTCTTGATGATGATATTCACATATTTCTAGGACCTTCAAACCTGATCACTGTTATATTTCCCCTATCCAACTCTGTTAGAAAATTAGTGACTGGTGATGCTTCTATGGAGATGTTGGAAGCCTTGATGGAGCTTATGTAGTGCTGTGAGATCATTTAGAGAAGCCCATTTCCTTGCAAAAAGATGGTTTTCAGATGTGATGGAGATATTGTTGTCAAAGCCATAAGAAACACAGTTGACTACACTGAATACATAATGCTGCAGTATCTGGAAAAACACAAGCCTACCATATCTGCTCCAAGGCCACTTGAGCTTCTTCACATAAACAATGTCTTCTTGATATTTATGAGTTACATTCCAGAACAAACATTGGTGGATGTCTGGCTGGAACTAGATATTGCTCAGAAAAGATTGGTTCAGGAGCAACTGGGCCAAATATTAACTGATCTAAGATCCCTCCCACACCTGGATAGGATGCTGCTTGGTGGTGTTGGCAGTGAAGATTGCAAAAATGTGAGAAGGTATCTTTGATAGAGCACTGAGCTGATCTTTACTGTTAAAGATTTTGAGAACTTTCTGTTGCCCTCTTTTTGGGTCTCTCTGTTCACAAAATTTATTCACTGTCTTTCTCCCCCCAGCACTCTGTTCCAACAGATTCAATGCATATTTACACATGGTGATCTGCGGCCAGACAATATCACTATCAAAGCTTGTGATAAGGAAATTCAAGTCACTGGCCTGCTAGACTGGGAATATAGCAGGTTCTATCCTGAGTACTATAAGTTGGTCAAGTATACAAATGGCCTTTCACTTTCTGAAGATGATGACTGGTGTTTGTTTATGCTCAAATGTATTTTGCTGGAATGCTATGCTTGGTGGTGGTTGTTGGACAATGTTTGAGAGGTGTTAGTTGAGTGACTTGTTGAGATTTGGATAAATGACTTGGTGGGACTTGCTAAGAGTAATATTAATAAAATGAACTCACCCTGCATGGTTTTCCAACTTCCATCTGAGATTCTGGCCACACCACATGTGGTAAATATCAACATTATTATGATACTCAGCTTCTTATTGAAATTTCAGTATATTGTCTCTTGCTTTTTCTTCAACTTCTTTCTTGCTTCATGATAATTCTTGTTGTTCTCCTCCATAATAAACTCAGCTTTCAGACTATCAAGAATATTAAGCACATACTCCTGACAATTCTATTCTATAATGTTGTTATTAACTTTGATGTTTTCAACAATCTCATACACTCTTTGAATGTTGTTCTTGTCAAGTACAGCAATGAGTACTTTGCCAATGAAGTTCTTTGAATGTTCAGGTCTGAAATTCACAACATTCAGACAGAAGTTTGGATGTGATCTGACAATCTTGAAGATCATCTTCTGATTATCTGTGTCAAGATATAATGCTCAGTGTTGAAAGTTGCTGTATTGAGATTGGTAGAACATAACATAAAGTTTTGGGCTATCCATTTCATCTGCTTCCTGGCATGATATCAAAATATGCTTTGGGTTATAGTCAGCACATTGTCTATTCTTATCTTAAACAACTTCTAATTCCTTAAATAAAACTGGATGATGGACTGTGGTGAAGAGAGATTCTGATGAGTGTGAAGCACTGACTTTTGTTCTAGCAAGATGGAAGTGTGGATGCAGAGCCTGTGCAAGACAAAAAGAAACAGGCTTCAGGTGATTAAAAGAGCATTCAAATGTTACTTGTCAGTCTTGTTCTTATGGGAGTTCACAGGTACTACAAGCAGAGACAAACAAATATCTCAAATATGCTGAAGATGCATGCTGAGGACTGCTCTGGACTGGGACAAGTTTGCTTGCTTTGCAAATGTTTGTTATTTTGTTTTTGAACTCTAATATGCCAAGACCATTAGATACACTGATGGAGAGGGGCCTGCTGACAGAGCTGATCAGAAGTTAAATACATTGGACAATGGAGCAGCCTTGTTTGGTAATGAACTGTGGAAAGGCACAGGATGGCCTGTAATGTCCCACTGTGGAATATGTTCCTGCTGGTGAATTGATGGAATGGAATATCTTTTCTCCAAACCCATCCCATCTTCACCCAAAATTACAAATCTATGCATACAAGGTTTGTGAACTCCTTCTCTAAACATAGCCAGTGAAATGAATTCAGGAGAGCTATTGAAGTATTTGAAATTATGTACAAGAAGTGCAAATACAGGTGTGAACAAATCATGTTGGGGTCAGTTGTGGAGTACAAGAGCTTTATCACTGATTGTATCCCTGGCTGCATCACTGGTTGTAACAAGAGACTCACTTCTATAGATTCTCAGCCTTCTAGGCTTCCCATGATCCTCTTTTTGGTGTTCAACTGGGATGGTGAAACTCCACTGAGCATCTTGATACTTGTCAGATTCAGTTGACCCATCAGAATCATTCAAGACAGATGTTAAATCAGAAACCAGCTGGTGCTGTGAGAAAGAATCTTGCAAGTGTTTCTGGAAAAGTCTCTTATTTGCTACTTGAATGAATTAATCTCTCTTTTCTTTTGCTTAATCTTGTGCATTCTGGTATGCTGATGCTTCTAGACAAAAAGTTTCAAGATTGCTGGTCATTGACTAACTCTTAAGTTGTGTCATAATATATTCAGAACAGCCATCTATATAGCCAGGCTTGTTAATATGGGTTGTGTACAGTTTTAGTTGCCCACCATGATAAGTTGATGTGAGAGTGTATATATTATTGTTGTTGATTGATTCATCTTGCCAGTAAGTCTGTAGAGAATGTATGCTGCAGATCCCCAATACACCATTATAGCATGCTTGCTGTATGGCTACTGCAAGAGATCCATCAGGGCCCTTTGCCTCTAAAAAGAAGTTTGGTGCCATTGGAAGGTTATCCTGTATTAATGGAACAATATAGTGTAGTGGGGATTCCAGTACCTCATTAGAACAAAGGTTGTTCCGGTCCGAGGCGCAAACCACCCCAAAGCTACTATCCTTGAGCTATATAAACCACCTGTAGCCCCTGCATCTTGCTTATTACCTTCACACACCATTGCTCTTTTCTACACACTCATTCCTTACTACCAGTTCAGCTATTAGTTAGAGAATATGAAGATTTCTTGTTCATAAAATGTGCTACTGTTTCTCATTAGAGCTGCCTGTGTTAGTACAGGGCTCTTTAGTACTATTACTCCTTGCAAGCTTAGGCATCTGTTAAAACATATCTATCTCTACACTTACTACTCAACCATACCCTTACTATGTGGTGATTTTTCACCTTTCTTGTGCTCTCACCATATCAACCAACTCACCTACTTTGACAAGGCATCCCATTGTACCCCACTTCATTTGGTGACCAAGCTGAGATCTGAAGATGATGATGCAGTGATTTGGTGACTGCCAAGGAAGAGAAAAACAAATTCTGAGACACATGAAGTGATACACTATTTCAAGGTAAGATCTTATGGACTAGGAACACAGTACTAATCAGTTTTTTTTAGGAATAAGATTAGGGAGCTTAGATTTGAATGCCTCTTATCTAGAGCTTGCCCAATAAACAGGTTTTTGGAAGATATTAACTAATAGACAGAACATACTGTGTGACATGACCAAAGATCAAGAAACCAAGAAATTGGAATCAGAATCAACTATAGCTGAAGGTACTACAGAATCATATGCAACTATATCACTGGGTGAGGACAAGAGAATTGTGATTCATTCCCACATTTCTATACCTTCCCCTGGCACAGCAAATGCACCTTGGTTTGACAGCAGAGATGCTATCCTGTTTATTGAAAGATTTTATCAGATGTGCAAGGATCATGGGGTAATTAACTCTAAAAACATTATTGAACAGTTGGCTAGATACTGTGTTACATGGATTGGAGAATGGATGAAGATCTTGAAAGACTACAAAGAAAGTAATTGGAAAGTATTCTCCAAAGAGATTATTCATGAATTTTGTGATCAAGACATTACTTACAAGATTCACCATTGGAATTATCTCCAGACAATTACAAAGAAACTGTGTGCTTGGGATGGCAACATTTGTGCCTATGTTTGAGAATACACTACTATTGCCAGTACAGTTCAAGCAAATGGAAGACTTGATGAATTCACTAAGGTGTCTTGATTTCTTCAGAGGCTATCTGAGAAGCTCCAGAATAAGATTATTGACAAGGCCAAGCTCAATCTTTCAGATAATATATCACCTATTGATTTTAGGAAAGTTGTTTGGGTGACCATGGATTTGATCAACCAGTATGAAGGGAATAAGAAGATCTTTGAAGAAGATGAAATGAAACAGAAGAAAATAGAGAAGCTTGGTGAGCAATATTAATTGGCTAACAAGCCCCCTACAGTTGAAGCTCCAAAGAAAACAGCTAGTTTTATGAAGACTGAAGAATTCAAATCAAAAGCCAAAGCCAAGAGCTCTGACAGCACTAATATTGAAGCTGCTATTGAAAAGATGACCAATGAGTTCACAAATTTGGCATTAGCCATGAGAGTACAATCAAATCAGATACAAGGAAATTCCAATCAGTATTATATGCTGCAGAGAGAAGAATCTCTGAAACCTATACCAAATTATCCAACAAATATGACTGTTAATCCTACAACTGTACAAGAGAATACTCAACTGCCAGTCAACCCCTATTTGGCTCAAAATGGCTCTTCTATGACAGGCTATAGTAGTGCTTGTGGACAAGGAGGAGCTCAAACTGGAGGAATTTCAACATGTCTCTCATGCTTCTACTGTAGAAAACCTGGACATTGTCAGTCTCAGTGTTATGAATACCAATCTGATATGAGTAATGGATACTGCCATATTGATGATGAAGAGAACTTACACATGGGCTCTAAGAGTCAAAACTATCAAGCTGTCACTTCTAAACCTGGAATCCCAAACATATATATTGTGTGGTCTATGGGAGAGGATGAATGGGTGATTTCAGAGTCAACAAGCCCTAAAAAGAAGACCAATCAGCAAGAAGAGACACCTCCTGCAAATTCAACCAGTATGAAGATCCAAGCAAGACAGCTTGCATATCTAATGTCTGATGGAGAATCTGATTCAGATAAGAAATATAAACCATTGGAAGAAAGAACATCAGTCAATATTGAAACAGTTGGAGAAGCTAAGAACAATCAAAAAGCTAAGATTGCAATGCCCCATACTCAGTATACTGGACAATTTATTACTTACCAGAATAATCAGGCTAGTATTGATGATGATGTCATGGAAGATGTTGAACTGATCAATCAGAAGAAGCCTGAAATTCAGAACAAGTCCACAGAGAAACAAAGACCAAGATATTCTGCAACAGATCACTTATCCTCTCAGATCTGTGATTCAACAGATACCAATGAATTAATGGGTTGAATTCTCAATGGAAAAGTTGAATTGTCAGTCAAGAAGCTTATAGATGTATCACCAAAGCTTCATCAAGCATTCTTCAGATCAGGCTGGAATAACAGTACTAGCAAAAGTTATGCAAGGGTTGGAGTCTCCAAATCAGTTCAGCCTGAGCTAAAGATCAATTCCAGTCAACTTACTTCAAAGCCCATGGTGCCAAAATCCAAAACAGCATATGGAATGCATTTATTATATGCACCAGTCACTATAAACCAACAAGAATTAATGATGTTGATTAATACTGGTTCAGAAATCAATTTGTTGTCTCAGAAGTACACTGAAATGTTGAAATTACCAATGAAAAATAAGCTGTGAGTGATCATGATTGTTCAAACAGAAGAAGTTGCTTCTTTTTACACATTTTGTGATGAAGTGCCTGTTCAAATTGAAGATATTGTTACACATATCTCTTTCCTTATATTCAAGAGAGGGGATCAGCAACTTATTCTTGAAAGATCTTGGTAATTTGCTGCCTGTTAGGGGTGCAACACCTCAGAAGACAGCAGAGTGAACTGTCAAATTTATAACAAAGAACAAACACATCATCTAGTTTTCAAAGGCTTTAAGCCAAACTCAAGCAACATGAGATATGCAACTGATAAATCAAACAGCAATTATTTAAACAATTCAACAGGCATTTAATCAGGCAGGTCCCTGTGGATACAAGGCCTGAGAAGGATGAAGAAGATATGATGAAGACAATGGGTATAAGAATTAATGATGAGAAGGTTGAAGGTCAGGAGATTAAAAAGAATAGAGAAGTCAGGAGCATTGGCAGCATTGCTGGCATTGGTGCTTACAGCAATGAGAAGAAACATAATTCCACCATTGGTGAATCCAAAAGCACACTAAGTCTAATCAGATTGACCAGCACACTGGTGAATCAAATGAACCAATCAGAAGACAAGAATAATTTTGCATCAGGAGTTCAGATTTTCCAACCTCCACTTCCCAATCCAGACAGCATCACAGCTCACTGCAAACATTACACACACAATATAAATTTCAGTTTAATTCACAAACCTATTCCACAAAGTACTTGATCAATTTACACATCTCTGAACAAAAATCATGATTTTGTCACAAAGAAATCACATCAGATAGACATTTTCAATAGTGGATGGGACATCAGGCCACCTTCTTCAGAGGTCTGGAGAGTGTGCACTGCTTATAAGCAGAAAGCTGATAAGATAAGACCATTAGCACCTGGAAAATCTGATGGAAGCAAGCCAGAAGACCTAGATAATTGGGTGGATGTTTGTTTGGATAAGTATTACCCTGAGGAGAAACACATCACATTTAATTGTGAATTTGATAACCATATTAGGCCTAGGATCACACCCTTTCCTGTTGGAGAACAGCTAATAAATGAGAGAATTGAGAAGCTCAAAATTGGATTCAAACTGACAAGTCAGGAGAAGGAATTTTTCATATCAGTTCTTTATAAACATGAAGAGGCATTGGCTTGGTCATTCAAAGACCTATATGGCATTCATCCTGAATGCTTGCCTCCCCAGGTTATTCAGACAGAGCCCCATGAGGCTTGGCAGACTAAGACTTACTGAATTCCTCATGCTCTACATGATAAGCTAATTAAAATCATTCAGGACAGATTAGAAGCTAAAACATTGGAGCCTTGCCATGGTTCATATACCAATCCCTATTTTCTGGTCACAAAGAAACAGAAAGATAAATATCATTTAGTTGACACAGTACATATGTACAACAAAGTTACTATTCAGAACACTTTTATTTCTCCTAATGTTGACAAATACACTGAAGACTTCAGTGGACTTGTTATAACTAGCCTATACAACTTATTCTCTGGATATGATAATTTTCTGTTAGCTGAAGAAAGCAGAGATATGACAGCCATTGCAACCTCTATTGGGCTCTTTTGCCATACAACTTTAGTTCAAGGGGCAATGAATTCGCCAGCTCAAGCTCAATGTGGGATAATGAAGATAATACACAAGGTTTTTCCAGAGATTGCTCAAGTCTTTATGAATGACCTTGGGGTAAAAGGATTGCATATTAAAGATGAAACTGAAGTCCTCCCAGGAATAAAAAGATTTGTTTATGACCATCTGCAGAACCTGAACTACATTCTATAGCTTGTTGAAATCTCTGGGACCAGGATCTCCAGTGCCAAATCTCAATTCTGCATGTCTGGAGTCAATGTCATTGAATGGGTCTGCAACTATGACAGACAACAACCTGAGGAAGTCAAGATGGCTAAAATTATAAATTGGCCTACTCCTACAAGCATTACAGAATTACAAGAATTTCTAGGGCTTGCTGGATATTTCTGAATACTCATAAAGCATTATAGTTGGATAACCAAACCTTTACATTATCTGCTTCAACAAAATGTTACATGGACATGGACTGAAGAGCAAAATGATATCTTTATGCTTTTGAAAGAAAAGTTATGTTCATTCCCTATCATTCTCTCAATCAATTACAAACAGGATTCTTTGCTTATCACTGTGGCTGTTGATGCCAGTGGATTAGAATGGGGAGGATGTATTATTCAGGAGCAACAAGGAGCTCAACATCCTGCATGATATGAATCTGGAGTATGGAGTGATTCAGAGAAAACATATGATGCTGGCAAACAAGAATGCAGAGCTGTTTTGAAAGCCTTCAAGAAATTCCAACATCATATCTATAGAGTGCTCTTTACCTTGGAAATTGATGCAAAAACTCTTGTCACCCAACTTAATAGAACTGCTACAGATGTTCCAGAAGCTTTGGTTACCAATTAGATAGCTTGGATACACCTCTTCAACTTTACTGTTAAACATGTTTCTGGGACAAAACACACAGCTGCTGACAGACTATCTCATCAAGGACTAGATATTGGGGAACAGCCTGAATCTGAAGAAGATAAAGATCTGTTTGCCTTTATAGATTCTATAAGAGTTTTAGCTGGCCAAGCTCTCAATAGTGAAGATCTTAGAATACTGAACTCCACATATTCAGAAGAATTGGAGAAAATTGCACAATACCTAACCACCCTATCAAAACCATTGGGCATGAAAGAAAAAGAGTACACAAGATTCTGAAGAAAAGCAATTAAATATGTGGTGGAGGCTGATCAGCTATTTAGGCAAGCAGGATCTGGTGTGTTTCTAAAACATGTTGTGGACAACAAAGAACAGTGTGAACAAATTTTACACATGATGCACAACAAATTTGGCCATAAAGAGCAAGAGAGAACATACTCTGCTCTACAAGCTTGATACTGGTGATCAGAGATGTATAAAGATGTGTCTGCTTATGTGAAGCACTGTTCTCAATGTCAACAAAGAGATTCACAAAGATTGAGTGAAGAGCTTCATCCTACCTGAACTCTTATCTGTTGAGAGAAAGTTGGGGTGGATATCAAGCACATGCCTTCCTGTTGAGGATGAAATTATTTGGTTGTTGCCAGATGTAACTTCACTGGATGGGTGGAAGCTAGAGTCTTGAAAAAGGCAACAGCTGAAGCTGTGGCCAAATTTCTTTATGAGAATATCATCTGTCAATGGGGCCTGCCTGCCAAATTTGTTATGGATGGAGGACCAGAAAATAAGAATGTTGTGGAGATCTTACTGAAGAAATTCAACATTAAACATATTGTTATTTTGCCCTATAACCCTCCTGCAAATAGTATGGTGGAAGTTGGCCATAAGCCTTTGGCTGATGGGCTAGCTAAAGCTACCAATGGCACTGGGAGGAATTGGATTAAACATCTTCCTGCAATTCTGATGGCAGATTGAATGATGACTAAGGCTAGTACTGGTGTCTCCTCTTATAGATTGCTAATAAGCCAGGAGGTAGTTCTTCTGATTAAACTTGAGATTTCTACTTGACAAACAATTTCCTGGCAAAAGATTCAAACAACTGAAGACCTGCTTCTGATGCAAGCACAGCAAATCAAAAGATAAGATAAGAATATCCTGAAAGCAGCTCATCATCAGCTCTAAATACACACTAGAAATAAGGAATACTTTGATAATATTCATAATGTTCAGACCAACTCTCTTCTATCTGGAGACCTTGTCTTGCTTCACAATACCAAAAAAGAACAGAATATGTCTAGAAATAACACCCTGCACTTTCAATGGCTAGGACCCTATAGAGTTAAGTCCACCAATCAAGAACTAGGTGTCTATCATCTTGAAGAGTTAGACAGTACTGAACTCAAAGAATCTATTGCAGGAAACAGATTAAAGAAGTATCTTATGAAACCTGAAATGGAGTTATTCAATAATAGCCCAGCAGATTCTGATGTAGAGATGGAGAATATCTCTCAAAGATATGCCATCAGAAGTTAACCCAACATTCCCTCTAGCAGTTTCTCAGATGTTAGCTTCTTGGATCAGAGTGAAAATGAAAATAATCAAGAAGAAATGGAGCAAATGTAATTTCCAACTGTTATACTAGATGACTGGAGCTTTGCTGTTGTTATACCTTCACAAGATATTTAATTTGTTGTGTTTTGTTTGCAAAGGTGAAGTTTTTTGCTTGCTTATTCAGGAAGTTTCTTTTATTTGCCTGCAAAGTGAAGTTTTTGCTTGCTCTTTCAGAAAGTTTCTCTTTCTTTATTATTTGCTTAGCATTCACTTTTTCTGGAGATATTTAAAGATCAATTTTTCTTTGCTGGAGCTTTTACTTTCTTTTACATTCAAGCTTGATTCTTTTTACAGATTCAACATTTCCTTCTATTCTGTTATTCTGACATTTGCAAATTTTTTGATCCCTGATATTCTTTAAAAATAGCTGGATGAAGCAACCTGCCTCCTTTAGCACCAGCAACTGAAAACCAAGGCCTGGTTGTTACCAGAGACAGTGGAGTCAACTTGAATAGCCATTTCTTCAATAACCTAACAGCAGCTATAGAATACATTGATAACCAAGCTCTGCACTGTTGATATGGTCTACAAGTTGAGCTGATGAACACACTTATGCAAGTGACTGATGTAGTCACTAACTTAGTGGCCCATTTCTATTAATATGTTGAAAGATCCAGAGCTTGACAACATATTATGCATGCCAATTTTGAAGCTGATTTCCATAATGCTCAAAAGATTACCCTGGATGTTGAATGACATTGCATTGATATACAAAAGATCAAGAATAGACTTGTCACTACATGGGGGATAGACAAGATTGATGCCATATGGCCAAAAGTGAAGAGTCTGTGGACCACACAAAAGCTTTGCCATACTCTAAATGTCTACAAGAATTAGGATAAGTTTGTCAACAATATTAACAGTGCAGTGCTCTGAAGACTAGATGCTACAGAAGCTGGACATTACCAGAGTTTAGCTATATTGCCAGATGATTATACTACAGCTGACAAAGAAGTCAATCACACTTGTGAACTTTCTTCAAGAGATACCCTATGCTAATGAGGACTGACTATTGGAAACTATGGTCTTCTACAGCCATTGGCTCTTCCACAGTCATCTAGCTCCCAACATTCAATTCAGGATATCACTAGAAGCCCTCCCACTGCAAGCAGCCCCCAAGATCTACTAGAAGGACCACAGTCACCAAGATCATCAAGAGATGTTCCAATAGGTGGGATGTTGATGCTGCATAGCCACAATGTATCAGGAGCCTCTATACATAGTACAATGTCAATTAGATCACATGGATTGGAAACTGGCCAATCACAGCTGCCATTTGGATTCACCAGCACACTGGCCAATCCACCCAGCTAATCAGAAGCTTCAAAGCACCACAGTGAAAGAATTACAGCCATGTCAGCACACCAAACCCTCCAAGGCCTAGACAACAAAGATAAGTCTGTTATTTCTCCTGAAAGCAACAAGAAAATACCCCAACATGAACAAGAAGAATCTGTCATAGCAGTATGCTCTGATACTTGTTATTACCATGGTTTCAAATAGCAGCTTCTTCAAAAGATAAAGAGTACAAAAACACATTCAGAGTTAGAGCTTATTCACATCCTGGAGCAGTTAGGAAAGGCCTTTAGCAATAAGAAAGCTGACATCTACCTATACTATGACCATGCTAAACTAATGGCTTCAAAACTTGATTTACAGACTCGCACACTTAATAGAGAGGAGCTTCTCAATCATTTGGCTTACATCCATAGGAATTGTTGCAATATTGGCTTAGTCAAGACCAATGACAGCACCTACCTCTGGTTCTGTTTGGCAAATAGACCAGCTAGAGCTGAAGATACTTTAGACATTTACAAATTCAAACATCAGCCAATTATCCCTCTGGTTACAAACATGAGAACATTTGACTTCAACCAATACACACAAATAACTAGAGTTAACAAGTTCACCACCAGCAATCTTCAGAAGGAATGGGAAACAACTGGATCTGTTATCATTCTCCAGCTAATGCACTGATGGAACAATAAGTTATAAGACACCACCACCACAGTACTCACCCAGGTCAACAGCAAATACAACATGTACTACTATCATCAGCAAATGATGGGAGATTGTGATAATTACAGATGGTTGAGAACAATGTATTACAGTATCAGCCAACAACTTATGTGCCAGGACCCTGCATACTACCTATAGTACATACTGACAAGACTCAACCATGCTTGGAAATTAATCTTCTATTCATACTACACCAAGTATGCTAAGCCAGGGGATAAAACTGGGTTTCACTATATCAATATCAATGTTCCAGATGCTATTACTACTGGAAGAAGCATTAACATAATACAAGGATCCTTGATCTTAACTGCAGAAGAGCCCAGCAACTGTACAGAAATCTTGCCAGAAATGCATAATCATCTAGAGAATTAGTAGGGACTAGTCAAAGAACAAGACTTATCCACTGATGACTATATTTACTGCATTAAAGATACAATATATATCAAAGACAACAAAAGAAAATTTAGTATTAGATGAACTGACATCATTTGCAAACCTGGCAATATCCAAATTACAAGCTCTCTGCTATCCCATGAAGCCCATGGTCCATGCAAAAAGGTCCAACATACTATACTACCCTGATATGTGGCAATCCAAGAGGACCATGAACATCTAGAAGTCAATGAAGCTGGTACATGATCCCAGCTCTCCACTGCATATAGAGATCTAGTTCCAGAGCCTTCATCTCCATCCAGCCATTCAAATCATTACATATTGGTTCCATATCAATTCCCTACTGCTATTTAATTACAAGGCTTAGGAGCTATATCAGATGCTCTGGTAGGACAAATTAGGTGGGACAACCCCATGGTAATTAAGAAACTCAATATTCTCTTTGGCCCTGATGACAAAAAGGCTCAGGACTTCATTAATAACTGGTGCCTAAAGGCCACACAAATTGCTCTGGATGCCATTGTCAAGACTTACCAAATTGAAAAGAAAGCTTTTGATAATAAATTCTATTGGCATTGCATGCACAACAACATTGATCCAGTGTCAGTTTGGCCTTCTCCTTCTTCTGAGAACTTGATGGAAGAAGAGAATCATGATGATCACTATTAGAGATTGCTGCTATCACTCTCCTTATTCTTATTTTCTATGTTTTTTCTTACCAGACTGCTCATTACTATTTATTATTCTCTTATTTTACTAAATTGGTTTTGTTTTATTTTATATGTTGTTTGTTGTCAGGGGATGCCAACATTGAAGGCCAGGAGGAAATGTAGTGGGGATTCCAGTACCTTATTAGAACAAAGATTGTTCTGGTCTGAGGTGCAAACCACTCCAAAGCTACTATTCTTGAGCTATATAAATCATCTGTAGCCCCTGCATCTTGCTTATTACCTTCATGCACCATTGCTCTTTTCTACACACTTGTTCCTTACTACCAGTTCAGCTATTAGTTAGAGAATATGAAGATTTCTTGTTCATGAAATGTGCTACTGTTCCTTATTAGAGCTGCCTGTGTTAGTACAGAGCTCTTTAGTACTATTACTCCTTGCAAGCTTAGGTGTCTGTTAGAACATATCTATCTCTACACTTACTACTTGACCATACCCTTACTATGTGGTGATTTTTCACCTTTCTTGTGCTCTCACCATATCAACCAACTTGCCTACTTTGACGAGGCATCCCATCATACCCCGCTCCAATAGAGACTAAGATCTTTATGGATTTGGTGATTGAGCTGTTTGGGGTGGGCACCTGTCTTTACTTGTGCCTGTGGACAGAGGATTGCCAAACTGATCTCACACTCAAGTGGAGTGAATGATAAGTCTAGAAACTATCTAATCTGGTTACATGATGTTGCACATGACAATTTCTTCCATTATTTCATGGTATGCATCAACATGCTTATGTGGTTGCTTGATTCATTCTAAAGCACAGCATATCTGAGCACATTCTTGAACAAAAGAATGCTGCTGTTGCACCACAGGCTTTCAGCAGATTGAAGGCCCAAGTTGTAACCATAAGAGAGTCACTGCAAATGTGATCTGTCCAGTAGACTATCCACAGTCAGCCTAATCTCTCAGAGTAGATGGCATGAATCTGTATTGAGGGGCAGTTGGAGAGAGGAATTTTCTATATAACTGTGGCAATTGCTCTGATATCTTCTTCACTGTATTCTTATATTCCATTATTTTTCTGAAAAAACCTTCTGCTCTCAGTAGTGATTTGAGGCACTTTATTACATCAAAATTGTGATACTCTGCAGGCTCAATTCTGTAGATGTGACAGCCATTTTTTCCATATTGAATGAAACAATTAGCTCTATATTTTCCTGTTTTCAACCAGTAAAGGACTTTGCATTTCTTCTTGCTTGTGTATGTAGGCTGAGATCTTGCTGTTAATAATTGGAGATTATAATCTAGTTCTTCAAGTAAGTTATATTCTGGTTCACTATCTGAAAATTCTGAACTTGCATTGTTCATTTCAATATTGACTACTTCCAGAAGCTCCATCCACTCTCCAAGAATCTTCTTGACCCAGGGAATATTGAGGTTCCAACCATATGGCAAATTATGCAGTTTATTAAACTGCAGTAATTTTATAATTGATCTGAAAAGAAGAGAGTCATTGTTTCATGCCTCAAGTCTACAACAGCTATGCATAGTGATAACCCCATTAACCAAAAAAGCCTTTACTCACCAGCCTGCTGTTGGATGGACTATAGTTTGTAGTAGTGATCTTTCAAATCAACAAGTTCCTTATGTTTCCCTTGCTCAACCACTCTTTCTTTTTGGGAAAGAAGATCTGATGAATGTTCTTAATCTCTCTGAGTTTGTGTCTTAAGTGGATGTCAGTAAGAATAGAACAAGAGGGATTGAGCCTGACTTATAAAACTAAAATGATGGTCTAATCATCAGTATGTGATCTTAGAATATTCAAGATACAAGAGGCTGTCTTGTTATTCTGGCTGTTTGTAAGTTCATCCAGAAGAAAAATCTGTGCATTCTGGATTAAAGCATAAGCAATAGCCAGTTGTTGCTGCTCTCTGCTCAAGAATATAGCATCTTGATACCAGGTGTCATAGCCTTCAGAACATTATTGTATCTGGTTGTGGATTAACAAAGAGCAGCAGATATTATATATCTCTGTATTCTTGACATTAAGGTTGGTGTATTTAAGATTCTTCATAATGCTTTGGTCACTAAAGAAGTTAGATTTCTGGAGGACAAAGATAATTTCTTTCTTTAGGCTCTTTGAAATATTGTGTTTGTTAATTTGGATGGAACTGTCTTGTGAGAAGTGGACTTACAGAAGAAGATCCAGAATGATTGATTTTTTACTGTCAGACTCTTCAATAAATGCAACAGTTTTTCTGCCTGGCATCCTGAATGACAATTCTCCAAGAACTTGGCATTGTTTATTGTAAGAAAAGTCCACACTCTGGAACTCAATGCTTCAGGGCTTGTTTTCCTGATTAGCTACTGATCCCTTCAGCTGTTAATAATAGACTAATATTTCTTTCTCAGAGATCTCAATAAGTGAACTGATCTTTGCAATGTGTTGCACAAGTGTCTAGTCCAGACACTTCTCTCTTTATATAGAATTTTCAAGTTGTTGCAAAAGTCTTCAGAAGACAAATCTGGCTCTAGCTCTGGCTCCAACTTCAGCTCAGTCTCAAGCTCAGTCTTGATTGCAGCCTCCAATACTGGGTTGTTCAAGCTCACAACCAGACAACTTTTTTTACTTCTCTTCTTTTCCTTCACTCTTTTTTTTTGATCTTTGCAGAAGGAGCCTTTCTGCTGATGAGATTAAAGATTGGGGGTGTGTAGTTTTGGAAATAGGCAAATTTATATAGCTGAGTGAAAGTGTCTACATTAACATTTGGCCAGACCACATGTCTAGTTTTTGTCTCAATTATTTTGCTATTTAGAAGAGTATTCAAGCTCTGAGAGAGTTCTGCCAAAGCAGAAGAATGCACAGTTACTTCTTGTCTATTAGTACTGATGGTGAAGGTGAACAAGAGGGAATGAAGATATCTAGAAGTGTTAATACTTAGAGCATTCAGGTGTTTAATCAGTCACTCACCTTTCAAAAGCACCCTTCATCTGAAATGATGATTACTTGGAGATATAAAGTCTAGGACTCTGCACTATGCAAAAGAGTAACAGATATTTGCAAACACCAGATACAAATTATTCTTCTAAGTAAAGTTGTTTGGTTCAGCAATGTGTTTTGATTGATTAGTTGAGTTACTTAATTGTCTTTCTGAATTGCTCAAGCAAAGAATGACATGTACATGAACTGTACATTTGGTGGCAATTCTATTTGTGGTGTGGAGCTTTTTGCACTCTTTTTGCTTTGCTTTCAATTATTATAATAGAAGCAAACCCTTGTGCTTCTCTGCCTTGTCCAAGAAATGCTGAAAGTCTGTGAGAGTGGGATCTTGATTGTAGATGCTGTAAGTGTTTCTGGAGAGAATATACTCATTCTTAACACAAAGCCTGTAGATATCTAGATAACATGAGACATCTGACCCCTGAATAGAGCAAGCAATTGAATATACAAGAGAATTTAATTAGAAGCTCATCTTTTATCTCAGAAGCTTGATAAGGGTGAAAACTAGAACATGAGACTGTGTGACATATTAAGAATAAAGTTCCACATGACTTCATTGGATGATCTTGCAGGGAATTTATCTTGAGACTTGATTTTTATCTGGTCCAAAAGTTATGTCACTGAGCCCTGCTGCTAGAGCTAGTGAATGGCTTGGACTAGTAAAGTGCTTGGAATAGTAAAGTAAAATACTAGGGTGAGTAGAGTGCTAGAACTAGTAAAGCACTAGAATAAGTAAAATACTAGGGCAAGTGAAGAGCTTGGACAAGTAAAGTGCTAGAATGAGTAAAATACACTGGGGCCTTGAGCAAAAATTAGATCTTTGTTGATCTTCTACAAGACTGCTCTGCTGGGCTCTCTATTAATTAGTCAGGCCATGATTTTTTTTGGCCTACTGAAATTTGTGGCCCAGAATGGAAGTGCTGAGATGAGAGTGATTAGTGAAGAGGCCATGATCTTTGCTTACTGTGGCTCTTGCTGTATTCTTGATATCTCTAATTCTGGCTTTCTGACTTTCTGTATTTCTGTAATTATTCAAAGTGTTGTTGAGGTGTTGCAGTCTGGTTTGGAGTGTGTGCTCTTTCTAGTGGACAATGAATCTCTGACAAGGGATTAAAAATGATAATAGCTGTCAAAATCAGTTGGTGGACTATTAGCAGGGGCTGCAAAGAGAGTGCAGTAACTAATTTAGTTGAAGGCCTGGTGCTTATGAGTTAGGATCATGATTTTTAGAGATCAAGAAATTGTGGCCTGCCTGATAAATAAAACAGCTGTATTATCTTGTTATAAGAGTACATCCTCCATTCTTCATGTTAACTATTATGCTTCAACCTGCACAGGATGTTTCCACCTGTTGCAGTGTATGGCAGATGTAGTGGTGATGAAAGTGCATGCTTGAAGATATACTGTATAGCTACTCTGTTAATTATTATAGCCAGGTCCATCTGGTTGCTGCTGAGTACCCACTACCATATAATACTGCAGGACAGGGATGAAAACAAGTGATCAAGTACTTTATAATAGATTTTCTCCCCAGATAAATGTCAGACTGCAATTACTCCAGTCTCCAAAGAATATAAAATAAATAGAAAGTGTTGTTGGATTGCAAGCTGCAAGAATATACTAAAAAATGTTACACTGATATTTATATTGAAGTCTCAGAATTTGGGATCAGTCAGATTACTATCTCAGATGAATAGTGAGAGAAGAGACAAAGCTTTTCTCTCAACATAAATCCAGACTCAACAACATTCCTGCTGTCCCAGAAAGAATTGGTAAGTCTTCTGATACAACTCAAGAAAATAGTAATAGATCAATAGAACAATCACTATCCCTCTGTCAATTGAACAATGTTAGAGAGTTATATAAGAAGCTGAGCTAAGAGAAAGAATGCCTATGACTTGGACTGCTGTTTTCAGAGATTATAGAAACTATGGCCTGCTGCTTAATAAATAATATGTGTTCTGAAAGAACATCCTCTATCATATTCTTCTTTATATTGACAGCCTCTTCAACCAGCACAGTCTTGAGCTGATAGAACTCAAGATTATTGTTCTATTGATTGAATCAAAGAAAAATTATCTGCAGTGGCATTATTCAGTAGAACATTTTATGGAAGAGTGAGCCTGTATTTTATAGAGAATAGAAGTGTTTAAACTAAATCATCAGCATTGTGATCCCTTCTTCTGATAAAGGTTTCTTTTCCCTGGGGACATTGGTTATTAGAGATGCAGATATATTTCTTATAATAAATACAATTTCATTTCAAGATGGAGCCCAGAGGATCAGAACAGGTCTTCTGAGTCAATTCAAGACAATTCTGTTCACAGTAGTATAAGTTTATAACCAGTACACAGAAGAGAAAGGAGAGCCAGAGAGGGTCTGACAAGACAGAGATATGAATAGAGGAAACTCAAGTGAAGAGAGAGTCTCTTGCAAGAGTGGCTGGCCTCAGAGTGATGAAAGCCTGAGGGGGGTGAAAGTCTGAGGGGGATGAAAGCCTGAGGGCTATGAAAGTCTGAGGGGGATGAAAGCCCGGGGGGATAAAAAGCCCAGAGGGTATGAAAGCCCAAGGGCTATGGATAAAAAGCCCTGGGGGGATAAAAAGCCCGGAGGGTATGAAAGCCTGGGGGGAATAAAAAGCCCGGGGGGATAAAAAAGCCCGGAGGGTATGAAAGCCCGAGGGCTATGAAAGCCTGAGGGGGACGAAAGCCCGGGGGGAATAAAAAGCCCTGGGGGGATGAAAGCCCGAGGGCTATGAAAGCCTGAGGGGGACGAAAGCCCGGGGGGAATAAAAAGCCCGGGGGGATAAAAAGCCCTGGGGGGATAAAAAGCCCGGGGGGAATAAAAAAGCCCGGAGGGTATGAAAGCCTGAGGGGGATGAAAGCCCGGGGGGAATAAAAAGCCCAGGGGGATAAAAAGCCCTGGGGGGATAAAAAGCCCGGGGGGATAAAAAGCCCTGGGGGGATAAAAAGCCCGGGGGGAATAAAAAAGCCTGGAGGGTATGAAAGCCTGAGGGGGATGAAAGCCTCAGGGTTTTTATCCCTGGGCTTTTTCCCCCCTCAGGCTTTTTATTCCCCCCGGGCTTTTTATTTCTCTCTCAGGCTTTTTCCTACTTTTTCAGTTTACTATTCCCCAGGCTTCTCCACCACTTACCCGCCTAGAGCTTTTATTATACTAGTATTCACTCTTGTTTACTGTAAGAAGCTCTGAATATAACGATGTGACGGTTAGCCAGCAGCTGAAAATAGCCGTTTTCGCGGCTGCTTTTGGCCTCCCGCTAACCGCCCAACGTCGATCATCACGTGAATTTATCCCCACGGCCGCGACGTTTCCCTCCACGCCATGGCCACAATTTTTGAAGTTACTGCATTTTCGAGGCTTCTACATAGTAGTCACCCTCGCTCACCCACTGCCCTTCTTTTTGGGGGGGGAGCCATTTTTGATGCTTCACTCAGTCAGTTTTGGCTCCCCCCCCAGATCATGTTATTCTCTCTGCTTCCAGTCCCCGTCTCTTTCATCATGCTGTCTACAGCTCCTTTCCCTCCCCTCCTTCACAGCACTACCCAGCCAGTTCTATCCATGAAAGCGTCTCAGTCTTTCATTATTTATTCCGGTCCTTCTCTACTGTCAGCTCTTCTTGGGCCGCCCGATCATGGCGCCTCTCTCTTGTTTGGCTGGACCTGACAAGCAGAGCAGGAGCAAGACAGATGTCAGGTCTGCTCTGGATACCCTCTCCACACTGGATGCCATCTTTTCAGACAGTGGGTATGAAAGTGGCTCCATCAGCAATGATGAAGATGACAACAACAGCCAACTCCCCGCCAAACACTACCTGGCCTTAGCAGAGAGCCTTGATATCACTCAGCTTCAACAGAAGCAGTACAGCCCCAATATCCAGGAAAAACTGGATGAGACCCGTGATTACTGGGAGAGGTAGACAGTGGCTCATTTGACCCTCAGGACTGTGCTATAAGCTCACCAGTGGCACTGGGCAGGTATTGTCAGCACATCAAGACTAACACGGAGCTGCAATGGGATCAGATCTCTGATTCAGAGAAGACAGTTCACTTCCTGTATGCATTCTTCAGTTGGCAGTGTGATATCCATCATGGCAAGAATAATCAATACTGTCCAGGCATTAAATGCAAAAGCTCACTGGAGACATTCTGGAAGTGGTGGCATCTTGTCCTCAAGCAGGAAACAGCATCAGGACTCAGCAAAGATACAATTGTCAAGGTGGAAGATGTGAGCACCTGTGCTCCCTCTCCTCAGATCACTAAACCAGAAGCACCACCAATCCCTTGCAGGTTGTTGCACAGGTGTCCACAGAAAAGGAGCTGGCTCTTGTTGGGCGGCCAAAGAAGAACATGTATATTGAAGATGTTGCTGAGTTCGCTCAAGTCATTCTCACCACCACTGAGATGACCTATGTCTGCAGTTGGCAGCACATTCAAATGCTTTTCTTCTTGCAGCTTGCAGCCATCACCACCAGCCATCCCTCAGCAATCCTCCATCTTCAGTATCAAGACATTGTGTTAACCCTGATCCGAGTTCCAGACAGTGGACGCCCCCGATTGTTCATATTCTTAAAACCAGAGTTTACTAAAAGATTTCTTGGAAATAAGGCACCGTATGTGTTTCTGATCCTCATAGCATGGCCTAGTTGACTGACAGAATTGATAGGAACAAGTTTAAGGTTCCGGAAATCATCTTTGACCCAACCCTGGTTCTCAGCCTGCATATCTGCCTGCTGACCATGCTCTTTCACATTGGGGGATTCAAGTCAATTTCAACAACTGGACCAGTGTTGGATTCCGCAGAGAAACTCTACAGTGCCAAAGTGCTGGATGGCAAGGGACAGCAGCCACTGCTACTAAAGGATAAGTTTGTGTTTTGCCAGACCGAGCCAACACCCACCAGATTTAAAATTTGCTTGGATCAGAGGATGACTGCATCCATGGTGAGTTCCCGGATGTGCTGAGCCGGTGAGATCACGGGCTTTGAGGAGGTCGCCCACCCGTACAACCTCCACTATGCTGGAGCTAAGGCATTTAACAACAGTGGTAAGTACCCCTCCATTTTCTTCATGTTTCAGTCATGTCGGAAGGCTAATGATGAACAGAGGAAGTTACAGAGGCTCTTCAGAACATCATGCTCCAACATGTGGATATTCACACCTTCATCAAGCATTATCAGGTGGACATCAACATTGACGCACAGGGAATAGTCCAGAAAACAGGCTCCCAAACAGAATTGGTGCAATTTGCCTGCTCAATGAGTGCATCAATCAACCCCAACCAACCATATAAGCTCTCTCCAGAAGAATCAAGGTCCCTCAACTACCTTCCAGTTGTCCTTGGCTGGCAGGATACTGTCCAGAAGCGCAAGCAGGAATTGGATGACCATGAAGCCAAGTTAGAACATGCCAACAAGGTGTGCAAGACTGCTTTAGGGCATCTTGACAACAGAGTACTCACCAAGTCCAACCCCAAGGTGCTGGAGAGACTGGAGGTTTTCCATGATCAGACAGCAGAAGCAAAGTCAGTGTACAACAGGGCTGTCCATGAGCTGCATAACAAGAAGCAGCAGCAGCGGAACCAACAGATCTGTGAGAACCTTGAGCACTATAAGAATGAGCAACCTGTGATTGACCTTGAACAACAACTGGCCGGGAAGCTAGTGGATACCAAAGTCATGGACACTTTCAAGCACAAGGCCTTCATGCCTCCAGAGCACTTGATGTTTGTTGACTGCATGTTGACCATGCCGGGCGCTAGTCTTGAAGCAGAATATCAACAGAGAATCAACACAATCAACACAGGGGTCACATTCTGTGGCATGGAGGAAGGGCGGCCCTCGCGCCAGCCCGCGGTCAATGATGGCCCTTATCCTCCGACCAAGCGGCAGAGGTGCCTGGAAAAGGATAACACTGAAGTCCTCTTGCACCAAGCTATGGAGTCTGTGCAGGCCAAGTCTACAGCTGAACAGCCTCAGGCTTGCTTTTGGCCTCACGTTTGCTTTCTCTGCATTGGGAATCCTAGTTGCTCGCTGAAGGACCACATTATGGAATACACAACACCCAGATCACTTACAAGGCATTTTCTACAAAGGCATATCAACCCTCCATGGCCAGCCGCTGGGGTTGAGTGCAATGTTTGTGAGGGGAAGGTGCTCCCAGCCAAATCTGCTCTTCTCAACCATGCAGAGGAGGCCCATGGAACTGTTGTGCGGGGTCACACTCAGGAGAAACTGGCGTTAGAATATCAACAGAGTCTAGAGAACTAGTTTTGTAGTATAGATGTGTATATATATATATATATGTAATGAAAGGAGTTGCAGTCCTCACACATCATGGCCATGCTTACTCTTACTCAAATGCATGCTATATCAAAACACAAACGAAATGTAAATCAGACTACATTACCCTATCAACATATACACTGAATCCGCATTAGTTCATGTCCCTCCACTAACACTTTTGCTACAAAATGCCTAGAAATCTAAATCACCATCTGGAACTATCCGGTTCCTCATTTTCGACTGAGAATGCCAGTTGATGAGGCTGGAGTTGGAAAGTTGGGGGCAGCAGAGCTAGCCAGTGTTCAAGGAAGCAGATGTGGGCAACGTTGCTGCCGTTAAATGGCGCTAATCAATATTTACCGTAATCATGGATTCTATGTCTCTGATCCCAAAAAGGCGGCGTGCGCGAATGGGGCCATAGTCAGGGCGCGATCCCGACATTACACAAAAACGATGCCAAGACCTCTTCTAAGGTGGGTTGCAAATACGGCTCGCACTTCAGGAATGGCACAGATTTTCAAAACTGCTTGCCAACAAAGACCTGTTCCCACCTCCCTTGCCGCCGGTTCCCTGAAATAGGTCTGTTCTTGGGCGCGAGCCAATTGTTACTACAGTCCTTTTTGCGCACGGTTGCATTATTTTGCTCCGATGAAAAGCAAGCAAAAGTTGAGAATTTCATCTATTTATATTTCGCTATTCTTATACACGCCGCACCGTATCGATCAATGAAGTCCCCATCATCAACTCATTTTAATTCACAAACTATTAATCTCACAACGATCCATCATGTCTTGAAACTGGGCATCTTGTAGTTCTTGAATGATGAGTGGTTGCTGCTGGAGTTCCTTCCTTCGCGCTTATGTCCGTGTAGCAGGGGTGTTCAGATCTGGCCACGCAGATCGTTTAGATGAAGTTAATCAGCCCACTGAATAATGAAGCCATTCCATATTCATATTAGCAAATGCGATGGTGCGCCGGGATCCAGTAGAATTCTTTGAGGCCCTGTGAATTGGCCCTTTCCAAACTGTCAATAATTCTCAAAAGTATGGACTGGCCAGACGATCTCCGGGGGTTCTGGAGGGCTATTAGGGCTGCCTGGTTGTCCGTAAAAATCGCCGCTTTGCTCCGGCTTGATGATGTTAAAATTAAGTTTAGGCCCATGAGGATGCCAAGAAGTTCTGCCGCATAAACGGTGGTTGGCCGTTTCTTTACCGAGGTACCGTCCCCGGGGCCACTGATGTCCCTGGGGCCACTGCTTTTGCCGTCCCTGGGGCCACTGCGTCTGCCCCACTAGTACGGTAGTAACTTATCTAATGAATCGCATAAACCACGTTCTCTGTCTAGTTTTCCTTTTTCTAAATAGGGAGAATGAGGAGCCAGGTACAGGCCGTCATTAGAGCAGCGAAGACTCAAGAGGCTGAATTTTCAGTAGCTATAACTCTTCCTCATCCTCGGAATATGTATTACGAAATCTTTCGGCTCGTCATAAAGTAATGATCTTTAGCTAAAAGATTTATTGTCGAACGCAGCTGCAACACGTTTTCCCTAATGAACTTGTAGTATGAACGGGAGGAAAACAAGAACAAAACTATCAGTGATGTACGTGAAGATTCATACCACATCTGCAGTATTTCTATTGCACTACGATGCAGAGATATATCCGTCTTCTGTGCGAGGGGGGCACTGAAGTCTTCAAACCCCGGAGCCAGAGGAGGCGTTATATCTTCCATGTCATCGAGTCCGGGGTTAGATGGGGAATAAGTTCCTCGCTGAACCAGCGTTAAAGGGCTATTTATCGGCTGTATTGTAGGGGGAACTTCAGATCTTGTAGATTCTACAAAATCATTCTTCTCCGCAGCCATCGCCGCATGATATCCTGACCATCTCCTGAGCACCGAATACAATGGCCGAAGAAGGAGAATATCACCTCCCTTGTAACAGCGAACAAGGTCAGGCGCTGAGCAGCAGGCTGATCACAACCATACACATGACCCACAAAGAAATACGCCCCGTCGTTCTGGAGCTGAGAGGCTCGAGGACGGTTGTATCGCCGGACGTCGTCCTCACCATTGTGATTTAATGCCGGCGTAGAACCCGCTTGTCCATTTGGAAAGATGTGCTCCAGTCCTTGCTCTGGGGCACACATTTCAACATCGCAACGAGCTGTGGTCTCATTAGTTTCACGGCAGCACAGCTGTCTGATCTCCGCGGAATCATAACTCAACCTCTGTGCTACGCCGGCGAGCCGGTGCGGGCCTCGCACACAGTTGAGATCGTAGACATTCACTGCGGTTGCTTGATGGTCCTGGAAGAGGACCACAAACTGTCTCATCGCGCACAACCAGAGCTGGACATACAACAAGCACACTCTCATCTTCTGTGCCTCATCACAACTCATATGGTCAACAGGCATATCTGTGTACTCACCAAAGGATAACTGGATAGGGCATCTGCCTTCCCTGGGGCCACTGCTTTCCCTAGGTCAGAAGCCTTCCCTAAGTCAAAATCTTCCCCAAGTCAGGAGCCTCCTTAGGTCAGAAGCCCATCAATCAACCCCTCTCTCAACAGGCCAAACCCCCAACTGCACTGCCCGAACCTCGTGATCACTTTCCCCGCCGTGAGTATATATATATGGGCTCCCTCCCGCCTCGGATCCATCTTTCTTTCAATTCCCTTTCCACCTTCCATCCTACACCGTCGACCGAAACCTTCCGCCAGGCCCTCTCCATCTCTTAGCTATGGCGTCAGCCGATAGTTCCCGCACTGTCATCATCATTTCAGACGAGACGGACGAACAGCCCCTGGCACGAGGGACGCGAACGTCACAAAGAAAGAGAACCTTCACAGACTACAGCTATCCAATCTATAATGGTCCATTCGATGATTTAGTGTCTTCTGATGCTCTGGAGTCCAAAATGGAGCAGCCACCGAAAAAACAAAAAATATCCAACTTGGACACAGTTTTGGTAAGACCTTTCCCAGTGAGACTCTTGGGGATATTTCCTCGCTGATATTGAGATAGGAAATGGCGAATCAGGAAATTCATACCATTTTCGAGGCGGAGCGTGCGAAGAGGAGGAAGCTGGAGGAAGAAGTGCAGAAGCTGGAAGAAGAAGTGCAGCACCTGCATGCAGAGATGACTATGAAGGATGAGCTGTTCGATACCAGTGATATGTTTACGACACTTTGGACAGTCATCGCCAATGAGAGGACGAAGGCATCCTGCGCAAAACCGGTGTCCACACGGCAGAAGGGTTCTCCACTCCGATGGGATGCTATAGCAAATCTCACATTGACATCGATGCTGCAGCTCCTGGACTTTAGTCTCAAGGTTAGATAGAAACCTTTTATCCTTTTTCTTAGTCAGAGCGGTAGAAACATCCTTGTTAGTCGCGACTTTGTTCTAGTTTTGAGGTTTGCTCTGTGTTATAATTGACAAATATATTAGTAATTCAACTTCTTGTCAACTTATGAGCCAATCAAATGTCAAGTTCAAGTGGAGAAATGAAAAGGAACTTACATTTACAACTGATACCTGCAAAGAAGGCCGGCATAGATCCTCTAACAAGTTCACCCATACAGATTATTATTAGACTTCTTCACAAAGCAGAACCTGTCACATCTTCCTTATTAAATTTGATATTGTCAACTTCTCCTCCTGCCTCCAAAGAACAGAGCAAAGGGAAGGGGGCTCCGCACAGGCAGCAAAAGAATGAAGGAGCCAAGGGCAGCAGTTATTATAGCTTCAGAGAGTCTGTGTCACAGTATGCCGACAGCGAACAAGAACAAGAGAGAAAGACCAAGCGTCGCGCGTAGCAAAATGCCAGGAAATCCTGGGGCCTTTTGACAGAGGGTCCTTGGTCGCCACAGGACCACAGAAATCAATTCAATGGCCTCTGCCATCTACAGCCCAGCACGGCCACAAGTTGGCCCTCTTTAAGCCTACCAGGTCCATGGATCGCGTTCCATGGACCCATCAGGCTTATTGTCTCCTGCCTCCAGCATGGCAACCTAGGTCAGTGGTCCTTGGTCATTATGCTAGTGACCACATGATGTAGTCCCTGGCCTTTTGTCAATATTCTTCTGCCACCATGCCTTTGGCCTGATTGGACTTCGGCCCTCAAGTTTGGACAGAGACTACTTCAATAAGCTACCAAGGGTGGTGAACAGAATGCTGACTAATCTTGCCAATAACCCTAACTTGTCTAATCCCAGTATGGTGAGTTTATATATGTATATATCTCAGCAAACAACAACAGGTTGCTGTATCATTATTGCTTGAGATTGATACCAACCGCTATTGCAATTGCCATTATTACTGAATTATTACTAATTACTCAATATCCCAGAAGATGATGTCCCACCCAACCATACAAACAAATCTCAGCAATGAATTAATCAGAAATAGAAAGATTTCATGAGATTCAGCCATCTCCCTGCATCAATGCTGACATAATCCACATGACCTCATTTGACAACAGTTGTTCTTCCAGGAGTAATAAGCTGCCAGCAGTTCCAAACCTCCAAGCTCCTGCAAATCATCCAATGTCATATTGGCATATACCTCATAACCCCCTGGAACACTCTCTATATTCCATCAAAGGGATGGAATGGCGATAAACTGATCAGAACCACAAGGCAAGCTGGTGGAAATCATTGGTTCATTGATGATGATTGGGTCTTCTGCGAGAAGTAAGGTGTGAGAAATGTTTTTCACAGCACAGGTGCTGAGCCTTACCAGCAGAACCTGAGTACTTCCAAGACTTTTCTTGCGTGCCCCATGTTTCTTGTAAATCTGTCCATCCTACTATCTGGTACATCTCATCCCTGTCTCGCTCATAGACCAGCTTCAGTATCTTCACTTGAGAAAGGGGCAAGATAATGTATTCCCGCTTATCCAGCTCCCCCAACACATCACCTTCCCAACAGTCGGACACCAGGGGGGTAACTTGCTCTGATCAGTGGGCTTGGATGTGATGTTCCTCGCCCGGGCGTGGGTCAGCCTCAATGGAATCATCGGAGTTCAACGGCTCCTTCAATGTGTTGCCTTCGCGATCTTCTGGGGCCAGGGGAAGAGTTGGCTCTCATCAATTGGATGGGTCATCAGCAACATCGCTCGGGCTTGGGTGAGCCTCCTCAATGGGGTCGTCGGAGAAATCCGACAGTTGGAGTGACGGTGGGGGAACATTGACTGGGGGGGAGTCAAACAGGATCCATTCATCCCAGTTAATGTCATCAAGACCAGAGACAGTGGATGGCAGGGCAGAAAAATCAGCAAACACCTCACTTGCTGCATCCTTAGAGAGGTCACCGGATGCAGAGGTGAGGGGCACGGGCATGGGCATGGGCATTGGAAGGAGGTGCTGGTGCACTTCGTCTGACCGAGGATCAGGAGTGTACGCCCACAGGAGGTGCTCCATGTGCAGCCAAGGTGAGGGAGAACAGTTGGCAGGTCCAGAGGAGGTGATATCGTACGTGAAGGTAGCAATGTTGTGAGGTGAGATGATGGGATGCTCTTCTCCCTCAATCTCGATCCAGGAGGCACTGGAGGTCTTTATATGTCTCACAATCAACCCCCGCCTGCGAGCAAAAATAGGTCGAGGCTAATCAAGGAGGGTAGGAAAAATAGTAGCTGAGATGTGTCTTGCGTGGATCGCCAATCATCCACACCGAAGAAGCCGCCGAACCGGGGAATGTTGCATTGATGGGGTGGGCTAACGCAGAAGTGCTCCTGGCCACCACCCCCATGCCAACATGGGCTCTCGTCCAGTGAATATCAGCCAGTCAACCTACTCAGCCCCCCCTTTTCCCCCTGGCCATGCGCCAGGAAGTCGAATCCACAAACCGCTAAACCCGGGGACAAGGAGCACGGGGGCATGCATGAGGACGGCCGAACTTCACCCAACCATGTGTGCCAGTCAAAAGTGCGCCTGACTTCGTCTCTGTGCTCGCTCGACTCTAAGCGAAAACACCAACATGAAGCAATATCCAAGGCGCGATTTGCATCGAGGTTTATCATTTTGTGATACACACCCCCACGAGTGCGGTTTGGCAATCCCATAGAGGCTTTATACGCGAAAGCAAAATGAAGGGAAATGCCAAATGCAGCTCATCCTCTGGCCCTATCATCCATGCCGGCTTCTCCAAAGGGCGCAGCAAGGTGGGCGTCAGATCAAGCAAACATTGGACTCTCATCCAGCCAACATCAACCAGTTGAACGGGATTCCCCCGCACTGAATCAGCGCTCATACCAGTCAAACCTTTCCCCAACCCTCCTGATATGCCAGGAAGTTCAACCAGCAAACTGTTCGATCCTCTCTTCCAGTCGATAAGGCAAGGGACATGGGGCTGGCATGTAATGGAAAGACGGAACTACACCCGCAGCCAATCATCTGCGCCTGAACCAGTGCAGAAGCATCCCTGTCTTCACGCCTCTGCTCTTTTTTGCGAGAGGGCGCAGCAAGATGGGTATCGGGTCAGTCCACCCTAGCGTTCCCTTCAGGAATTAAGGACCAGGTGGAAGGGATTGCTAACAGACAGTGCAGCCAGTCCAACCAGCATGGGGTTGAGGTATAAAGGGCTATAAAAGGTCTTCGCCCTTCTCCAAATCTTTTTCCTGCTTCAAATATTCGCCCATCTTGCTTCAAATATTCTCTTCTTCCTCTGCATCTCTACACATCCTCAGCATGGATAGACAAGGAACCGAGGGCCCTCCGCCACTACCCAGTCAACTTTTGTCGCCCGGTGCGCAACAACCCGCTCTTCCAGCTTATTGCGAGATGTTGGGTGACTTTCTCCAAAAGGCGCCGTTTCAAACCAATACCTCCAGTAAGGGTTTAATGATCTCTCCCTCTTTATTGTCTGTTTTGCTCCTCATAATGCGGCCTTCTATTTCTATTTCTCATCTAAGACTGCAGGATCCCTCAACGTCCCGCCTGAGCGGCTGTCTGTTGACAGGACCTCAAATAACCGGCCTCAGCCTCCTGGTGGTATCGAACTCGACGGCCGAGACAATATCTCGGATTCTGGGGCTACGACAGAACCGTTGGCCCATGATGAATTGGAGAATCTTCCCTATTGGTATGAGGCGCAGCAGGTTGAAAAGAGCCTTAGGATTTGTCATGTCGGAGATAAAGTATGGCGAAATAATAAATATGTTCACCGTGTGCTTTATGAGAAGGAAACATATCTCCCAGACCATTGGCTCCCTGAAAATGCGAGGCTCCAGCTGCGGAAGGAGGAGCAAAAACAAAGACGGAAGGGGGAGAAACAAAAGAAAAGGAAGGAGAAGAAACAACAAAGGAAGGAGGAGATGCAACAAAAGAGACATCTGAGGACATTACGTCCTCAACCATCAACACGCAATTAATGGAAGATGGGATGTCAAACCGCTCATTTCTTTATTTGATATTATAATACACAGTCATTTGTCCATCTGCCTCTTGCATTAATTAGATGATACTGAAGTGGTGGCTAGTATAGTCAAGTCAACATCTTTCTCCACGTCTCGCCCATCTGCCGGAACGCCCTAATATGGATCCCCCCCAGGAGTCAGTGAAGTGGTGGCCCACGACCAAAACTGTAATTCCCCTATGGGAGTTAGGGAATTGGGAGAATGCTGATGAAGGCAAACCCTCAAGGAGAGTCACAATTTTGCACAGGGGGCCAGTAAGGATGGAACCCCATGCGGTGTCGGCATCCCTGGGGAAGTAAGCTCCTTGAGGAGCGCCGAAATTCTGAGTGAAAAGGCAACAAAAAAGCCCCTTGGGGAGTGTCATAATTTTGAGTGAACAGGCAACAAAGATAGAATCCCATGCAGTGTCAGCATCCTTGAAGAAGTGAGTCCCATGCGGGGTTGGCATGCTCAGGGAAGTGAGCCCCTTGGGGGAGTAAACTCCTTGAGGAGTGCCAGAATTTTGAGTGAGAAGGCAACAAAGATAGAATTCCCATGTGGTGTCAGCATCTTTGGGGAAGTGAGCCCCTCAGAGAATGCCACAATTTTAAGCTCATAGCCACCATAGCAAATCCCGTGAGGGGCGCCATAACCTCAGAAGAGAAGGCCACAAAATTAAAAGTCCATAAGGAGACGACTCTCACCAGAGGATAGCACCATGCTGACTGAAAAAGCCACAGAAAGGATGCCCATCAGGGATGTCATATTTTTTAAGTGAAAGGCCCCAGATAATGACAATCCTTGAGGTGAAAGACAAACTTGAAATCTTATTGATTCTTGGCATTTTAGGGTTCAGCAAGCACCATAGCTTTGAGCATGTCTAAATTTATAAGTGGATAAATTGTATATTCGGCGGCTGCATCATGGACACATACACACAAAAGCAGCCAATAAAACTTCAACTAGATATACTTTCCAAAAAGAGTTCAGTGATGATTTCAAATTAACACTAATTTACAACAGTCTTTCTTCTATTCCTGCTTCTTCTCAAGTTTCTCTTGCTTCCTCTTCTTCCCTGCTCTAGTCTTCTGATATTTCATGTAGTTCTCACACATTGTTCAAGATGGAGGTGGATAATGTTTCTCCTGTTTCTGTAAGAGCTACATCTTTCCGGGGCTGTACGCATGGCACTCACTATATCTTTGTCTGGTGGTGGAAAGTGGCTGTTCGAAGCATCAGACTTGTTAAAATTAATTGTAAAGTACCAGTTGTCTTCATGGATAAGGAGGTAGACACCTTTGCAGCGACAGTCATCAAAATAGCTACACAGCATACACTGCAGTGTGCCTTTCCATCAGTAACACATCTGCACGAGGCTACTGTGCTCAGCCCATGGCTTCTTGACACACTTTGAGCCTGATGTTTGCATGGTGTAGCATTTAATTCCAGTGTAGAAGAAGAAACTTAATTATTATCACTTGATATTATGGGGAGAGGGCTGGATATATAGCTACAAAGTGTTGCTTCATCAAACCAAAAGTCACTTTTTGAATGTGTACTTCTGTCGGATGTGACTAGTCATTATGTCGCGGCACTTGTATGCTTGACCACAATCTGCGATCTGAAACTGTGGTCCACGCCATTTTGATTCGCGATTGAACTCGGCCACACAATCCAAATACATGGCCACGCTTTGCAATCCGAAACCGTGGCCCTCACCATTTTGACTCAATTTTCCACTCGGCCACGCGATCTGGACCATTTATGCTAAAAGAGAATACAAAAGAAGGAAAAAATCCTTATAATAAAGAACTTTTAATGATAGTTATAGCTTTTAAATATTGAAATACAAAACCCGAAAAAGAAAAAGAAAACATAAATTAACAACTGCAGCCCTGGATTGAAGCCAAGTACACTGAGATCTAGCAACCATTACACTAGAAAAGCCATAGGCGAAGAAATAGGTCAAAAAAGCTGGAAGTGTCCTATTCAAAATCACACCGCGCGGAAGATGGGATTCGTTAGTCTGTTAGTCTGAATGAAAGGTAAATAAATATAGAAATCAAATTGCAGAAATGCAAAATTGGAACAACACTTCCATATGCCAAGAAACAGCTAAGCCTTGCCACTTGTTGGGTGTGGAGGCGTCGGATTGTTAACCAGGTATGATGAAATGCATTGCGCTAGTCCGTAATAGGAATAGCGAACCTAAAAGGCAACCTAAGCTGGCGCCGCTAAGAAGCGGCGCCAGCCAGTTCACAAGGAAATGATGGCCTTGCCAACTGGTCCAGTATGTGTTTTCCCTCTTCTTGTCACTCCTTGTTCTTCAATGCAAAAGAGGAGGGACGAGAAGAGTAACTGAACCAGTTGACAAGAAATAGGAGAGTGAGAACTCCATTATGTTGCTCGGAGCATGCAAAGTCAATCCCACCAAAAGACAAGGGCGCCAAGCCGTGATTGCTTCCATCAGCCATTTCCACAAACTACATAACTGTCAAATCATGTATGCTGATCAAATCGCACAAAACATCAAAAGATGAAAATTACAAAAGTGCAAAAGTGCAGAAATGCAAGCCCACCACACATTGCCAGTCATATCAGCACTGGGCCTTTGCTAAGCTTTCTCAATGAAGTTCTCACAGTCCTATTCCTTGTCAACTGGTTCAGTTAATCTTCTCATCCCTCCTCATTTGCATTGAGGAACAAGGAGAAGAGGGATATACTGAGCCAGTTGGCAAGGCCATCATTTCCATAAGAACAGGCCATAACATTCTAAAGAATAGGAGAATATTTCCACTAGGAATGGCACCGAGCATGACCAGGTCACCAATTACTAAAGAATAGAGGATATTCCCTGGAGAATGGTGTCAAATTGGGTAGGTCTGTGCTTACAGTAACCTTAACTCCTATCACTGGGTAAAGGGCTGGCGTCTGAAAGGTTCTATCTATAACATCATTCACAGCCCACCTTTTGGCGGTGTTGCTTGGAGCACACAAAGTCAATCCCACCAACAGACAAAGGGCGCCAAGCCGTCACAAGAGGCATCCTTAAGGAAGCCAAGACATAGCTTTAGTGAGCGCTTGGCGCGCTCCTGCCCCTGATAAAAGGTATGGTAAACCAACCACGTACACCAACCAAATCACGGCTTGGCGTCCTCCTGGTCTGGACCGCGACGGGCACAGCTTTTGGGGGATCACCGCTTGGCGTGGTATGTCAGGGACAGCTGGAAGTGACATCATTTATGCCCCACCTTCGGCGGTTAAAGCTTAGCAAGGCCCAGCACAAAGCCGTGGTGGGCTTGTATGTCTGCACTCGTGCAAAAAGGCAATTTTTGCAGCTTTGTAATTTTGCATTTTCACCTTTTGGCATTTTGTGTGATTTGGTTAGCATACATGATTTGACAGTCATCGCGTGGTGTTTATAGCTTCCATCGATCGAGGCAGGAAGAGGACAGGCGACAGGAGTTGAGGTTAAGCACAGACTTACCCAATCTGAGGCCATTTTCCAGGGAAATTAGGGAAAATATCCCCTATTCTTTAGAACATCGTGGTCTGGTCATGCCAGATGCCGTTTTTAGAGGAAGTATTTCCTATTCTAGATCAGCATGGCCTGGGTCATGCCAGATGTCAATCATGGAGGAAATATCCCCTATTCTTTAGAACATCATGACCTGGTCATGCTCGATGCACTTTCTAGGGGAAATTGTTCTCCTTTCTTTAGAATCCCATGACCTGTTCTTACGAAATGATGGCCCAGCAACAGGAGTTGGAGGTTATGCACAGACCTACCCAATCTGAGGCCAATCTTCAGGGAAATATACCCTAGACTTAAAACATCGTGGCCTGGTCATGCCGGATGTCATTCTTAGGGGAAATGTCCCCTATTCTTCAGAATATCGTGACTACAACATGAGAAGTCCAGCGCAAAAATATCATTCTGACATCAAATGTGAGCAGGCAAGTCTCCATGGGTGGACATCAAGCATATTCTCTGTAGCTCGTCAATGGCGCTACAAGCAGCAAAGAGTAGGAACCCTGAACTGATATACAAGTGTGATAATTCTTACTACTATCTATGTGAGTAGATACAGCTATTTATACTTCTGGAAGGGTGGCTGCCTGCCTAATAGGCAGCACTTCCTGATTAGAGCACATATCACATGATATTGGATTCAACTGAAAGATGATGATCAGGAACAGGCGTCCTGGGTCAATTCCAGGCAGTCCCATCCAAGGTACTCCAATATAACTAGCATGCGAGTGTAAAACCAGTAGACAGGTTGAGGAGGGTCAGGAAAGACCTAACAAGGAAGAGATACAGCACATATTGAAAGATTATTGGTAGAGGAATGTCTGAGCTCTGGCGGAAAGGAAGGCCCATGAATAGCTTGGTCTTTTGAAGCAGAGAGCGGGAAAACCTATGAATAAATAAGTCAATCAATCATCAATCAGGCTCTTGTCATGGACAGCTTCTGTGCTAGGACAGCCCTTAGGTTAAAGCTTCATACTGACATGACTTGCAAGGCGCTTAGTGTTTTCTTGGCGTGTTGATGGACTTGCATTTCTGCACTCCTGACGCAGTTTTTGCAGTTTTTGCAATTTTGCATTTTCTCTTTTTGACATTTTGGTCAAATGGTGGCCCCTGGATGACATCATTTCCATGAGCTATTTTCTCACAAGAGGATTCTCCCGAGGATACTTGTCACAGAAGAGGCTTTCTAGATAGATACTCTTTAATGGCCAAACTTCACAATATTTAAAAGCTGTTAAAAGATCCATGTGTTTCAGCATCTGACAAGGCATTCATCTCTCGGATGGAAATACAAGAGATTGCCTTTGTGAAACATAGGGGATTGAGAACTCTCACTTGAATCAAGTGACTTCATGTGTTTAGAAATATCTCAAGCCGAGCTATCTGAGTCACACAGCAACTTAAGAGAATCATTTTATTCCTACAGACCTCCTGTAAGTGTTTTCTCAGGATCTTGGCTGAATACAAATGAATTTGGTGATCCCGGCAATCCGGCGATCTGGCGATCTGGCGTGGTTGGTACGGACCCACATAGTTTTGTAGTGATCAAGGCAGTAAGTCTCCAATGCGTGCGAAGGCGTCTAAATGTATTCCTTGTTGATCCATGAAAATCCCCAGATGTAATCAACAGAAAACCCGTGCTGTGGCCCTTCATAAGAAAACAAGGACAAAAAGGACCAGACAGCCACCCAAGTTACAAAAAGTAAACACCCTCAAAATATTATGTGGGGTAGATGTGAAGAGCGGGAGACTACAAGATGGTAAACAAGATCAAAGAGCATAGAGAGAAAGGAGGTTGTGACAGTACACAGCTAAAGAAACAAGGAACTCCAGCAAAGGCTGTGTGTTGTGTAGGTCCCTGAAGCAAAGGAAAATATATATCACAGCCGAAAGCACCATGCTGAATCTTGGTTCCTCTTGGCGCAGGGCCTCCTTGGATATTTCCAACAAACATGACTGCAAGGTGCCCATGTTTTCGGCCCTGCAATCAAAAGCATACCTCAAAACCATGGAGTTCATTTTTCTGTTAGAGGAGAAGTTCCCACCAGGGAGTAGCACCCACAGTGCAAAAGACACTACTGAATTCATTGTACAACAAACAAGATATTTCAATAATTCACACTTATTCTCAAGTTTCCCTTGCTTCCCAACTTCCCCCTCTAGACTTCTAATATTTCATGTAGCTCTCGCATGTTGTTCGGGGTGGAGGGGGGTAATTCCCCTGTTTCTGTAAGAGTTACATCTTTCCAGGGCCGTGCCGGACATGGCGCTCACTCTATCTTTGTTGGTGGTGGAAAGTCGCTGCTCCAAGCATCAGACTTTGGGAAGAGATCTCAATTTATAGAAATAAGGTGGGCTCCATTGAGCCAAAAGTCACTTTTTAAAATATCCAGCAATTCAACTTTGAAATCAAACTAGCCAACTCAATCTTGAGCCACTAGTCAGCATTCTGGGATGACGGGGGTGTATTGTAATGAATAAAGCAACCAACCAATTAGATGAAGGCAAAAGATATTGGGTTGTTAACAAGACTTAGCGCAAGAAAGAAACTCTCATCTATCGAGTTCAAAATACTCCTTAGGTTCTGCCTTCTCCTCATCTGATATAGGAACGCCGGCAAGTAATGTATTCATATGCCTCATATATTCCCTGTCCTGATAAAATATTGAATCCCTATACATCACCTGCGGGGGTAAATTCTTTCCCACCGCACTCACATCCATACTCTTCTGCCAACTCCAATACTGTTCTGGCGTTTCACAGAACTTGCACTGGCAAGGATGTCTCGGATGTGGGAGCGGGCCTCCCATGAGTGGCTTCCCGAAGCCGCATGACATGGACGCGGTGCTGAGCTGCAACATTTTCTTAACGGCCCAGGGATCCCACTCAGGTGGTGCATCTTCGGGGTGGAGGTTGAAGCAGCGAGCTTGGCCGTGAGGGATCCAGTGATTTTGGAGGTGGCAGTTGCTACACCAGTGGCCTCGTGGTAGTGGAAACCGCGGTTGCTTCATCGACGAGCTTGAGAGATTATCTCATGGGGAAAATTTATGGGTCTCAGAGTGAGCTAGGCTGCCTTTTTGCCTTTTTGCCTTTTATACCCCCAATCGGAGGACTGGATTGACGGCTGCTGGATTGACGACGGGCGACTGGATTGACGACGGGCGACTGGATTGACGTCCGGCTAGGCCGACATTGGATTGTTTACCTGGAGGGAGATAAACCAGCATCAATTATGTAACAGCCGCCATAGGTTAAGAAGTGTACTGGTTTGCCTGCCACAGAACCTTCTAAGGTTCGTACCTACGGGGTACTTCAGTCAAAAGGCATAGACCAGTGAAGGGCCTGGTGACTGTGCTCTATGTTTGTATTTGGTACAGGTCAGTCGGCACAGGTCAATCTAATCTATGCCGACTAACCCATATTTGGGTAACAGTACCAGCCTTGATCTGGATTAGTCAATACCACCCCTCAGTGGCCCGTGGATGCTCATGCACCGAGTTGGGTTTAACTAACTTATTAAACTTTCCAAAGAGGAACAAAAAGACGCATGTACGGAGAAAAAATCAAACAAGGTGGGCTTTGCGCCAGATAGAGAACAGTAAATCATATCCCGCCCCTCATTCACCATGGCTATGTCTCTGTTTCATTCTTGCTACTCTATCCTGTAGAATTTCTTATTCATAGCCGAAGCCCTACATTATTGTGGGCAAGTTCCTTCATTTTGGTTGATATATCCATCGTCAACAAGGCTGGCTGATGTTTTCCTCCTTTTTCTTTGTCTTGGACTGGCATCAGACTTGTGTTTACATATCTCCTTAGCAATCTCTGGAGATCTGCACGTGAGTTCCTAATGTCGTCGCCGCCGCTTTCCACAGTTTTCCTGGCCTGCAGCCCAAGCGGGTTGCATGGTTCTCTTGGATTGTGGCTCGGTCTAGTATCACTGTGTCAGTTAACGAACTTCAATTTAGGTTTGGATTGCAACTGTACCTGATGGGTTTTGATCATCAACTCCAGGAGTGCAATATACAAAAATAGGGTCCTGGCGTCCGCGAGGATTACTGCAGTCAAAGTCATCTAATTTATGGATATGCCGTCTCGTATATTCTTCCAGCCTCTTCCGGATATAGCCCACCTCTTCCTGAATTAGAGGTTTATACATTTGCTGAAAAGGCATTATTGGTTGGCTCTCTACAAGAGCTGTATGGATTGATCGAGTCCAATCTGCTACAGGTCTCGAGGGCGGGAGATTCAGTGGATTTCTGGAAAGAATGATATGGATGGCTTCCCCAGCAGCACTTTTTTCACGTCCACTGGGCCGGCCTCTGACCCCTTGATCTTACGAGTTCGAGTTGTCCGGGTACTCATGATAAAAATGTAGCGTCGGATGGTTTGCAAAGCTGGGGTGGTCTTTGTGAGGAGAAAAGGGAACTGCGAGCTTACCTAACGTATCATTCTTCCGTTTCAGCATACTTGTCACGTGGTAACTTGGGTGACTTACTAGTTAACTAATTAATCATGAACTTCACGCAAAACCTTTTCTTCATGTCTTTGATCCCTTCCAACACTAGTGTACTGGGCCAGTTGTGTTTAATCGACCCTCAGAGCTTTAAATGATGGTATTACAAGGTTTGCTCAATCAAATCCCTATCACCTAATGAGACAATGCTAACGCCATCTTTGTTCTTGAATGGCTATTAGATTTGAAATCCATCATTCTTCACACTCGATTTAGAATAGCCCGGTCAATCTTTGGATCCCTAGGTCCAACTGTTGTTAAGGTCGGCCGGAAGCATGTTATTAAAGGGCCGTGCCAGCTCCCAGAACTTGAAGCGCTTCTCTACATCTCAGAACACACCACAATTCCCGTTCCTCGAGTGCGGTGTTCATACAATGGACCAGGGGGCATATATATAATGATGGATCACATTCAAGGTACCGACCTTGAAACTCTGTGGATGCGCGGCCTGAAACCCAAGGAAAAGGAAACCATTCTCAATGATATTGCAACTATCTTGACTCAACTTCGAACACTTCATCCCCCCAAAGAAGGAGTGGTTGCGTCCGCGCAGGGTGGTGCCATTCTTGATTACCGTATTGGGAGTCAACTAGTCGGCCCATTTCAGTCTCATTCCAGCTTCCACTCTTTTTTACGGGGTGGCGTTCCACTGGAAAACACGGCTCAGGTTTTTGGGGAAGATATTGCATCTTGTCATAGCAACAATTATCGGACGTTCTTCTCGCATTCAGATTTGGCCCCGCGGAATATTATCATTCGCAATGGCAGAATTGTGGGAGTTGTTGACTGGGCACTTGCAGGCTGGTACCCAGAATATTGGGATCTAACAAAGGCATATTACACTTCATTCAAGGTGCCGGACTGGCCCGAGAGCATCAAACTTAAGCTTCCTTCATATGCGGACGAGCTCATGGCAGAACGCCTTCTTTGGAGACTCTACGATGAACCAGGAAATGTTTCGCGCAACTAGTTTGTCTATTTATAATCACAAACATTGCTTGGACTAGGGTTGGCCAGGCATTGATTGGCATAATCCAATATCCAGACTTTGAATTCTTCGATATCAAAGTTCGGTATCACTGATTCATTTTGTAGAGTGGATATGGCATTCCAAACCCAATGGCGACATCTTTCTCCTGATTCCTTATCCGGCAGAGCAACACCCCTGAGGATGGTTTCGAGATCATTTTCTGTCGTTTGCGGAGGAACTTTTCCGATCATGACCCGACCGACTAACCGCCCACTGTCCAACGGATTCACGTTGTTCTTAATCCTGAAGAACCAATCTCTTTCCGAGTTCAGGTCTTGCCCAGTTTCACCATCCAACCGAACGCCGTCCGAAACGTCGTATGCCATGTTGTCGCGGCCGTTGGACTTCTTAGGTGCTAACAAAACTCCCCAGTGGTATGCACCGTACGTCTTGCGTATTCCCTCTTGAAGAGACATTTCATCTCGGTGGTGAATAGAGATAAATAGGCGCTTTTTATTGCTCATATCTGTACCGCAGCGTTCAAATTCATTAGACTGATGCTTGCACTCTGGTTAAAGGGCCATTTCTTACTGTAGAGGTCTGGGGATGGAAGACTGCTATAAGCAAGCTCAGTTGGAAGTTTGCCTGTTCGAGAGCATATCACCTTGACACTGATCAAATGCCAGGGTGGTATGATAGTACTTATAACAGCGGCACAGTACCATTTACCAATACAGATGGGCCAAGTGGCACATGTCTTTCAGCATGGATGTATGCAGGCAGCAAACAATTCTTCCTTCAAATCATGTTGGTAAACTCAGAGGAGCAACTGGTCGTCTGAGAGCTTGCAGCCAATGACAATAAGTAACTGCCATGCCAAGGCCGCCGGGAATAGCTCGTCCCGTGCGTTCCGGGCCATTCCGCTCACTAATGCATGCTGCTCAGCAAGATTCAGAGCGCGGAATGATCATCGCCTCCTCCGCGGGTAATTGTGAGTCATGTTGCCCTTGTCCAATTGTGCGGTGCCACGTACATACAATTATTGGAGCCAGGAACCCGCACATAACCACCTCCATCGACTTGGAGGGAAACTCTTAATACCCAATGGGAGAAAAGTTTCTACTTTGGTTGTAGTAAGCCTCCACTAGCCAGATCGAGTTGAAAATAATAATCCCACTCTTCAATAATAATAGACGAGGTTTGTCTAGGAAAAATGTTTTTCCAGGTATCGGGCCCGCCCCCTTTTTCGGTCAACCCTTCTCTTTGCCTGATACCCTTTTCGGCTCGCCTATCGGCTCGCATTTCTTTTTGGGTCACACTCCTTTCAACACGTACGTTTAAAGATGTATTTAGGAACTAGCTACGAGGCGAGTACATGGGAGGGGTGTGGGCGCAAAATGTCGCCTTCGCTGAGCCTCCGGCTGGTATCGATGATTGCATTGGCTGCTCTGAAGTGTTGGTCATGGATCCTGCATCCTCACGGATAGACAGGCTTGTCTGGCTCATTTCCGGGTGTGTTGTCACCGCTCAGGGCGGCCAGGACGGACTCAACATTGCATTTATGTTTTGCATGGCAATCAATTCCCATTTTGCGGGTGGTTCTTAGTGTTGGAATGGGGAGGCGAGGCGTTCTCCAAAGATGCAGCAGTCTATCCACAAGACTCCCTCCACTCTGTCCATTTAGAAATGGGATCTTAAAAGTCACTAACTTTCATAGATTATTGAATTGTCCAAAAGGGAAAACGCAAGATCATGGCGAAAAAATTTGCAGCAGACAGAGAGTGTGATTCATGTGATCCATCATTTTATCCAGCAGCATTGTCAATAGATACAGCTCCTGAGAGTACCAATGCATTTCACACCACCTCAGGGAGATAAGAGGAAACAAAATAAAACGAAATTTCCGACAAATCCGAATCCAACCTTGAAGGTTAAAGGCAGAATTGGTTCAGTGACCTATATCCATCTTCACCAATGTTCTCCGACCGCAGCCATTGACACCTCCAGTGCACAAAGTAAACCACTAACCCGTCAGAAATACCCCTCTTTGTCACAGATGAAATATGGTCCAGGAGGTCAGGGATATCACATTCAACATCCAAGAGACACGATGCCGGTCCATTCTGTTGATAGTTTCTGTATAGCTCTTCCAGCTTTGATCTTGCTGCTTCCAGATCTTGAAAGTTCCATTCAGACACCCAAACGCCTTCGGGCTCCATGGCACAGAGATACTCATTTTCGCCATGACGGTCGCAGTATCAGCTATCGATCGGGGCACAGTAAGTCCAGTTATCATCAGAGATGTCGTTTATCGCCGAAATTTCTTCGCGGTCAAAAGTAGTGTCCGAGCCATTGTTTTGTTAGCTGTTCTCCAACAGAAAAGGGTGCAATCCTAGGCCTAATATGATCATCAAATTCACAATTAAATGTGATGTGTTTTGCCTCAGAGTAATACTTATTCAAACAAACATCCACCCAATTATCTAGATCTTCTGGCTTGCTTTCATCAGATTTTCCAGGTGCTAATGGTCTTATCTTATCAGCTTTCTGCTTATAAGCAGTGCACACTCTTCAGACCTCTGAAGAAGATGGCCTGATATCCTATCCACTATTGAAAATATCTATCTGATGTGATTTCTTTGTGACAAAATTGTGATTTTTGTTCAGAGATGCATAAATTGATGAAGCACTTTGTGGAATAGGTTTGCAAATTAAACTGGAATTTATATTATGTGTGTAATGTTTGTAGTAAGCTGTGATGCTGTCTGGATTGGAAAGTGGAGGTCAGAAAATCCAAACTCCTGATGCAAAATTATTCTTGTCTTCTGATTGGTTCATTTGATTCACCAGTGCACTGGTCAATCTGATCAGACTTAGTGTACTTTTAGATTCACCAATACTGGAATTATGTTTCTTCTCATTGCTGTAAGCACCAACACTAGCAATAATGCCAACACTCCTGACTTCCCTATTCTTTTCAATCTCCTGACCTTCAACCTTCTCATTATTAATTCTTATACTTATTGTCTTCATCACATCTTCTTTATTCCCCTCAGGCCTTGTATTCACAGACATCTGCCTGATTAAATGCCTGTTGAATTATTTAAATGATTGCTGTTTGATTTATCAGTTGCATATCTTATATTGCTCAAGTTTGGCTTAAAGTCTTTGAAAACTAGACAACACATTCATTTCTTGTTATAAATTTCACAGTTCACTCTGCTGTCTTCTGAGATGTTGCACTCCCAACAGACAGCAAATTGCCAAGATCTTTCAAGAATAAGTTGCTGATCCCCTCTCTTAAATATAAGAAAAGGTGTATGTGTAACAATATCTCTAATTTGAACAGGTACCTTGTCATAAAATATATAAAAAGGAGTAACTTCTCCTGTTTGAACAATCATAGTTACTTATAGCTTATTTTCCATTGGCAGATTCAACATTTCAGCATACTTTCAAGACAACAAATTGATTTCTGAACCAGTATCAATCAACACCATTAATTCTTGTTGGTTTATAGTGACTGACATATATAATGAATGCATTCCATATGCTGTTTTGAATTTTGGCACCATGAACTTTAAAGTAAGTTGACTGGAATTAATCTTTAGCTCAGGCTGAACTGGTTTGGAGATTCCAACCCTTGCATGACTTTTGCTAGTACTGTTATTCCAGTCTGATCTGAAGAATGCTTGATGAAGCTTTGATGATACATCTATAAGCTTCTTGACTGATAATTCAACTTTTCCATTGAGAATTCAACCCATTAATTTATTGACATTCATTGAATCATGGATCTGAGAGAATAAGTAATCTGTTACAGAATATCTTGGTCTTTGTTTCTTTGTGGACTTGCTCTGAATTTCAGGCTTCTTCTGATTGATCAGTTCAATGTCTTCCATGATATCATCATCAACACTAGCCTGATTATCCTGGTAAGTAATAAATTGTCCAGTACACTGAGTATGGAACATTGCAATCTTAGCTCTTTGATTATTCTTAGCTTCTCTAACTGTTCCAACATTGACTGATGTTCTTTCTTTCAATGGTTCATATTCCTTATCCAAATCAGATTCTTCATCAGATATTAGATATGCAAGCTGTTCTGCTTGGACCTTCACACTGGTTGAATTTGTGGAAGATATCTCTTCTTGCTGATTGATCTTCTTTTTAGAACTTGTCAACTCTGGAATTGCCCATTCATTCTCTTCTATAGACTGTACAATATACATGTTCAGGATTCCAGATTTAGGAGTGACAGCTTGATAGTTTTGACTCTTAGAGCTCATGTGTAGGTTCTCTTTGTCATCAATATAGCAGTATCCATTACTCATATCAGATTGGTATTTATAATACTGAGATTGATGATGTCCAGGTTTTCCACAGTAGAAGTATAAGAGATGTGTTGAAATTCCTCCAGTTCAAGCTCCTTCTCATTCACAAGCACTACTATAGTCTGTTATAGGAGAGCCATTTCAAGCCAAATAGGGGTTGACTGACAGTTGAGTATTCTCTTGTACAGTTGTAGGATTAACAGTCACATTTGTTGAATAATTTGATACAGATTTTGGAGGTCCTTCTCTCTGCAGCATATAATACTGATTGGAATTCCCTTGTATCTGATTTGATTGTACTCTTATAACTAATGTCAAATTTGTGAACTTGTTGGTCATCTTTTTAATAGCAGCTTCAATATTGGTGCTGTCAGAGCCCTTAGCTTTGGCTTTTAATTTGAATTCTTCAGTCTTCACAAAACTAGCTGTTTTCTTTAAAGCTTCAACTGTAGGGGGCTTGTTAGTTAATTGATATTTCTCATCAAGCTTCTTTATTTTCTTTTGTTTCATTTCATCTTCTTCAAAGACCTTCTTATTCCCTTCATACTGGTTGATTAAATTCATAGTCACCTGAACAACCTTCTTAAAATCAATAGGCAACATATTATCTGAAAGATTGAGCTTGGCCTTGTCAATAATCTTATTCCAGAGCTTCTCAGATAGCCTCTGAAGAAACCAAGACATCTTAGTAAATTCATCAAGCCTTCCATTTGCTTGAACTGTACTGGTGATAGTAGTGTATTCTCAAACATAGACATGAATGTTGCCATCCCAAGCATGCAGTTTCTTTGTAATTGCCTGGAGGTAATTCTGATGGTGAATCTTGTAAGTAATGTCTTGATTATGAAATTCATGAATAATCTCTTTGAAGAATACTTCTCAATTACCTTCTTTATAGTCTTTCAAGGTCTTCATCCATTCTCCAATCCATGTAACACAGTATCTAGCCAACTGTTCAATAATGTTTTTAGAGTTAATTACTCTATGATTCTTGCACATCTGATAAAACCTTTCAATAAACAGAGTAGTATTTCTGCTGTCAAACCAAGATGCATTTGCTGTGCCAGGGGAAGGCATAGAAATGTGGGAATGAATCACAATTCTCTTGTTCTCATTCTGTGATATAGTTGCATATGATTCTGTAGTATCTTCAGCCATAGTTGATTCTGATTCCAATTTTTTGATTTCTTGATCTTTGGTCATGTCACACAGTATGTTCTGTCTATTAGTCAATATCTTCCAAAAACCTGTTTATCAGGCAAGCTCTAGATAAGAGGCATTCAAATCTAAGCTCCCTAATCTTATTTCTAAATAAAAAACCTGATTAATACTGTGTTCCTAGTTCATAAGATCTTATCTTAAAATAGTGTATTGCTTCATGTGTCTCAGAATTTGTTTTTCTCTTTCTTGGCAGTCACCAAATCACTGCATCATCATCTTCAGGTCTCAGCTTGGTCACCAAATGGAATGGGGTACAATGGAATGCCTTGTCAAAATAGGTGAGTTGGTTGATATGGTGAGAGCTCAAGAAAGATGAAAAATCACCACATAGTAAGGGTATGGTTGAGTAGTAAGTGTAGAGATAGATATGTCCTAACAGATGCCTAAGCTTGCAAGGAGTAATAGTACTAAAGAGCCCTGTACTAACATAGGCAGCTCTAATGAGAAACAGTAGCAAGTTTCATGAACAAGAAATCTTCATATTTGCTAACTAATAACTGAACTGGTAGTAAGGAATGAGTGTGTAGAAAGAAGCAATGGTGCATGAAGGTAATAAGCCAGATGCAGGGGCTACAGATGATTTATATAGCTCAAGAATAGTAGCTTGGGGTGGTTTGTGTCTTGGACTGGAACAACCTTTGTCCTAATGAGGTACCAGAATCTCCACTACAATACTCTCTGATGTTATAACATACCCAAGATAGTTAATCTCACAAGCATTAAACTTGCACTTTGCCAGCTTGCAATAAAGATCTGCATTCTTGAGTATCTTAAGTATTAATTTCACATGCTTCTCATAATCTTTCTTGCAAGCCAAGTACACAACCACACCATCAAGATAGGCCATCACAAACACATCCAGATATTTGCTAAGTGCCTTTACAATATATGATTGAAAAGCTGCTGGTACATTCACAAGCCTAAAGAGCACTATCAAGTACTTAAATAGTCTTTGTAAAGTTCAAAATACAGTCTTCCACTTATTCTCTTCACAAATCCTCAGTCTATAATAGATGTTCTTGATATTCAACTGAGTGAATATTGCAGCTCCTGCAAGCTTATACAATACATCTTCAATTAGTAGTAGAGAATATCTATTCTTGATTGTTTTTGAATTCAGATTACAATAGTTCACACACATTCTTGGTTTATCATTCTTCTTGAACATAAACAGAATAGGTGCTTCTGCAGATAACTTGAAAGACTGAATAAATCTATAAGTTAGAGCACTGCTCAGATATTCATAAAGAGTCTCTTGCTCAGCTTGTAAAAATCTGTATGTTCTTTCAAATTTTGACTGCTTCTCTGATTCAAGATCTATAGTCAAATTATTTTTGTGATGTGGTGGCAGCTTCCAAGCTCTCTTGTCACTAAATACTTCTGCAAGTTCACAGTAGACTTCTGGTATCTGGAGATCTAGGTCTACTGTTACCATCTGTTCTGATTTATGGAGGGTCATTATATAGATAGACTTTCTTTCTTTCACAAGCTCTGAGAGATTAACTGGTTTAACCTTCACAAGCAGGTCACAACATATATTTTGGAACTGTAGCCTTAGTTTCTTGAAATATATCTTGAAATTATGTCACTGCAGCCAGCTCAAACCTACTAGTATCTCATCTCTTATATTCATAACCATCACTTGTTTATGGAACAACTGCCAGTTTCTCTGAGAGTTACAGACTTTAAAGAATATATTCACAATCTCTTCCACAAGAATGACATACTTCTAATTTATAGCAGTTTCAATTTCTATAGATATCTTGTGCATCTCTAGATCTAGCTTTATGGCCAATTGCAAACTGATCACTAGAGATTAACAGTCTGAATCTATTAGTGCTGACCAGATAATTCTTCTGTCAGTTGAACTTCATATATCTAGAATAATAGAGAAGAGAGCAAGAAGACTGTTCTTGAATAACTTCATTATATTGATTCTATGTACTTGCAGCCCCCCAACTTTCTATTTGCTACTCTTCTTCTTCTTGAAACAGTCTTTTACAAGATAGCTCTTTTAGTCATACTTAAAGCATCTCTCATTCTTTTTCAAGACTTTATAATTCTTGATAAGATTCTTTCTTATCTTCTGAGCAGGTCTCTGAGATTGACTTCTCTTATTTATTTATGGTCTTGAGTTATTGGTCTTCATATCTCTGCAAG